TTCTTATTTTCTATTGGCACTGGATTCTCAAAAGGATTTTCTTGCTGACAACAGGATATTATGGTGAATGTGGCAAAAGAGGAGGCTACATGGAGATTACTGGCTTCAGTGCTCCAGTTAGAGAGCAGATCTACAAAGTGGCGTCAGTGAACTTATGTTCCAATATCACTGGCCAGATCCTTGCCAGCCTCGTCATGAATCCACCAAAGGTCAATGTTCTGTCATTGTTTAAATTTCTACCTAAGAAAGTGCAAAAGTCTCTAATCAGATACCATTATTTGATTCTGCAGGCTGGAGATGCATCATATGCTTCATACAAGGCAGAGAAAGATGGAATCCTCCAATCATTAGCTCGCCGTGCAAAGGTATACCAGGATTCCAATTCTCTTATACTGCTAAATGATATCTGGGAACAAATTGTAGAATTGTTTTTTTCTTGATGGCAGGCATTGGAGAATGCTTTCAACAGTCTTGAGGGAATTACATGCAACAAAACTGAAGGAGCAATGTACCTCTTCCCTCAGCTTAGTCTGCCACAAAAGGCAATTGACGCTGCTAAAGCTGCTAACAAAGCACCTGATGCTTTCTATGCCCTTCGTCTCCTCGAGGCAACCGGAATTGTTGTTGTCCCTGGATCTGGATTTGGCCAAGTGAGTCAACTTAATCTTTATACGAAGAATATAATATGCTTGTGCTTGTATCTGCTGATACTACTGGTTTGGACATATTAAGTCAAAACAAATTTTCCTTAAAAGATTCAACGTCACTTTTTATGCCACCAAATAACAATCATGGTTTTTTTTCTCATAAGTTCCTGAATATATCTTTGTGTTGAGCTTCTGCAACAAATATCTGAAAATAATCATCCCTGAATAGAACTTCTCATACTATTGCGTTCTTACCATGCTATTTGGTCACTAGATATTTTGTACTCCCTCCGTCCCTAAATATTTGACGCCGTTGACTTTTTAAAACATATTTGACCGTTCGTCTTATTCAAAAAAATTAAGTAATTATTAATTCCTTTCCTATCATTTGATTCATTGTTAAATATACTTTTATGTATACATATAGTTTTACATATTTCACAAAAGTTTTTGAATAAGACGAACGGTCAAACATGTTTAAAAAAGTCAACGGCGTCAAATATTTAGGGAAGGAGGGAGTACTAAAAATTTATTACTGGCATATGGTGATGTTATCAACTAAAAAGATTCCTGGGACACATCATGTATCTGCCTCTTTTGTTCTGTTTCAACAACTATCTTGTTATAATTCTGTGTGTCCAAACCTGAAAGCTACTTTGAAGTTTACGAACAATAAGCACTCCATGCACTTTATTTTTTGGCATATCCATGGTACTGATTTTGTTTTCCTCTTCTACTCCAAAGGTTCCTGGCACATGGCACATCAGATGCACAATCCTGCCACAGGAGGAGAAGATCCCCGCGATCATCTCCCGCTTCAAGGCATTCCATGAGGGCTTCATGGCAGCGTACCGCGACTGAATTGCCATTCACCATTGAACAGATGGGGAGTTCTATACAAGCCTGATGGATTTTCCCCAGGCCTTCTTTTTTTTTGTCCCCATGATAGCATCATCGTGTAGACCAAAACAAAATAAATCAAAGCCAGACATGCTTTTTTTTAGTGTGCTAATCACAGAGGGTACTGAAAAACTGATGCCTTCGATGGCAAATTGAGGAGAAATTTACCTGCCATTTCGTTGTTGTGCCTGTTACTGTATAAATGTTAAGATTTTGGTGCAGAGGCAGCTATAGTTTTGAGATGTTGGAGTTGGCTGAACTGTATGAGAATGGCTTGATCTGATTGTGAGACCCACCAGCTATTCATCTCTGATTTGAATAGCGTTGGTTGGTAGGAGTGCTGCTGAACAAAATGCTCTGAATAAAATGAGACCTTTCAGTGTCTTTTACTCTGCTGTGCTGTCTACTGTAAATCACAACTTGCAAATAGTAAATTTTAGTATAGATTTATAATGCTTAGGTTAAAGATTCCTGCGGCACATGGTATTTGTTGCCTTGATGGTAGAAACAGAATCCCAATAATTTCAATCTATTTTTAAGGACTTGTAAATATATGTGACTGGATTAAATTTCATTATAAAATAAACATACTTATAAGCATATCTTAACACACTTAATTTTTTATAGAAGTTGGAAATAAATCGGTAAATGTTCCTGCTAAACTAAGTACAGGTAACTTGTTTTTTTCTCGTGATTTTTGACCATTTGCCACTCTCTTCAATGGCACATTCTCAAATAGTAGCAACCTCCCAGTGACTTGGATTATTTGTCACCCGGGTCAAAAAAAAATGTCTCCACTTTGCCATTCTTATCTTTCAGCTTAGGTAGAGTTTATTCCAAACTTTTTCTTCAAACTTCTAATTTTTTCATCACATCAAAACTTTCCTATACACATAAACTCCCAACTTTTCCGTCACATCGTTACAATTTCAACCAAACTTCTAATTTTGGTGTGAACTAAACACACCCTTAGTAAATCGGATGGACCGCATCCCGTCGCCACCATGGATCGCGTAGCACCGCTACCGACCAGAGCGGCGCCCCCGTAGCTCCTTGGGAGATCTTACCACCCGTCGCCGTTGTTTCCTTATCGTCTCCTCCTACACAGGTTAGCGCTGCCGCCATTGCGTCGATCTTAACGGCAATCGCTCGGCACGAGCGGCAGCACCGCCATGGGCTTGCTCGACCTCTTGCATTGCTTGTCATTTTAATGAGAAGATATGAGAGAGAAGAGATCAGGGTAGTATGGTCATTTGCTTTTCCAGTGCCACATCACTCAACTGATGTGGCAACGTTTTAGGTCCAAAAGTGGCTTTGAGCAAGTCCCCATGACAAATAATCAGTTATTGGAGAGGGTGGCATTTAAGAATGTGACATTAAAATAGAGTAAGGATCCTCTACTACATCTATAATAGTTGTCGCTGACATGTGGAATTGGACCCACCTGTTAGCCACTGTCAGAATAACTTTCCTACAAAGGGTCAGAGGCGAGCCTGCTAAACAACTATAGATAACCAAACGAGAAAATGTTTTAACACCTTACATATTCCCCTATTTTCAAAAATATATAAAAATAGCCCTAACCATTTTAAAAAAAAAAGATTGCGATGTTCTCATAATATGAAAAAGGGGTTGGTCTTCCATTTGACCATTTCCACGTTGTATTAAACTTATAAAACGAGATAGACTCAATAAACTCCACGTCCCCGCAAGGAAACTTAAGATCCATCGCAATTGGACTCGAATTCGGTTTTTACCGGCCCGACCATTGGGATCCCCGGTTGGACCCGTCTCAAGTCACCAATCAAACTATCCTGTCAAACATGCTTGGATCCTTTTCAAATATCACTAAACTTTACTATATTTTATTCTGGTGCTAAATCTAATGTTAACAGGAGGGTGAACTTGTGGTATCTGTGCACAAACACATATACCCTCCGTTCCATAAAAAACAAAGTTCTAGCTATGAATTTGAATATACACTATATCTATATTTATATTCAAAAGTAGTTTTTTTAAAACAGACGTAGGAGTAAGCGTTACTTTTTTTTTAAGATAATAGAATAGAATATCCTAGCCTTTGCTCAACGAGTTACAACCAATTATTACAACGTAACACTCAAAACGAGTGTAGCTCACATAAATAAAAGAAGACACCAACCATGAAGAAAAAGCAAACTAAAGACTATCAACACAAGATTGTGTTGATAGGGAGTACACAATCATTGAATTCTATTTATGTATCTCCATCCAAGATTGGTAAACAATTGTATAACCGTTTTCTCAAGATTACGACATGCAAATTTTAAAAACTCGCCTCTTCATCATCCTTTTGTAGTTGTGCCTAGAACGTGAGCCAATTTGTTGCCCTGAAAATTACTTACATATATGAAACATATAGTGATTTGTCTAATATCATGTCATTCCTACTCAACCATAGAGTCCAACATATAGCAGATGTTTTAAGAATAAGTTTTCTATTTTTCTTGTCCACCCCCAGAACCCAATCATAAAAAATATGAGATATGCTATTAGTAAAGTAAAACCAAAAGAAAACTGAATTGATCTCCAAATAAACTTTGTAAAATGGCATTCCATAAAAAGATGTTGTATAGTCCCATTTTTAATACAGAAACAACATCTCAGACTACCATTCCAATTCCTCCTTGCCAAATTATCTTTATTTAACACAATCCCTTTAAACAAATACCACATAAAGATCTTAATCTTCAGAGGCATCTTAAGCTTCCAAATAATCTTATTTCTCTCAATATAACGATTGTTTATTAAAGCTAAATACATTGACCGAACAAAAAAAATTGGCCATTGTAATGATAGTTCCATGTAAAACAATCTTTCTGTTGATTCAACTGAATATGCACAATAGAAAAGTACAATTCATGCCAATTTGCTAGATTCTGACCAACTAAAGCCTCCTAAAAGAAACATTCGGTGGAACATATCTCATAACATTAGCAATTGAAGAGTTTTTCCTTCGAACAATAGCATATAGAGATGCATACTTATCTTTAAAAGCTAAGTTACCTAACCATTTATCTTCTCAGAATCTAACTTATTCCCTATTATTCAAAATCTAGGAACCCATATTTAATAAAGTATTCTTAACTTTTTTTTATGAGGCCTAACAAAAATAAGAATCTCCTTGTTTCCTACCAACTTGGGTAATAGATTTATTATAGAGATATTTTCTTTTCAATAAGTATTGCCAAACCCCTTACTAATTTATTAATTTATAAACAACAATTTACTCAAAAGACATTTATACAGATTTCTGAGTTATGAACACCCAAACCGGAGTAGGCGTTGCTTGTAATCAGGGGAAAAAAAAGAGAAGGAGAAACAAAAAATACTCGCGAAACAAGACGAATGGGAGCAGCAGGTGGCTCCAATCCAACATGATGGAGGATCCGTGCACGTGACTAGTGTACGTCAGCCTCACCAAGAACGGCGCTGAGGCTGAGTGCCACGTCACCACGCGCGTGCGTCCATGGCCACCGCTTCGTCAGCCGGTCGTGCACGACGACGAGATGAGAGGAGATGAGACGAGTTCCCTCCTCTTCATCCATCCATGGCCGCCTAGCTTAGAGGCTCACCATCGTCACACTGGCTCACTGCTGCATTCCGCATTCCTCGCTCGCTCACCTCACCTCACCTCACTCACCTACATCGCCGGATCGATCGCACCGTCGCCGGCGGCCAACGAGATGCTTCGCGCCGCCGCCCGCGCGCTCACCGTCAGCTCCCTCAACCCAAAGGTTTTGGATCTTTCTGTTTTTTTCTTCTCTGTCTCCGGCGGCTCGGGCTCACTGATCTTCTTCCGCTGCAGGTGCTCGCGCTGGCGGATCACCACCTCGGCGGACTCGTCGCCCGCCGCGCGCAGGTAATCAATCAATCAATCAATCAATCCCCCCCATTTGCTCACAATCACATGCATATGTGATATGCCTCAATGGGGGGACGAAAGAATCCTCTCTATTTGATTTGTGCGAAAAAATACGATATGCCATCTTTGGGAAAAAAAAGTTAGAACGCGTTGGTTTGTTTGATCGGCGGTGTTCTTTCTTGATTGGGACAATTGGAGTTAGGATCGGAGTAGGTTTAGTCTGCACATCGCAAACTGCATTGCTCATTTTTTTAGCTGGTGACAGTAACGGTTAATATCCTTATAGTAGAGAGGAAAAAAATTTTGCAAGCTGACACGGTATAGTGAAATTCAGACTGTGTGATTGTTCTAAGAGTTTCTTTGGTGAATTGTTATTTTCAAAACAAGTTCCTTCGGTGGATTAATGATTGTTCTCAATTCTAGTATTTTGAGATTATGAAGGGGTTGCAGCTTAATGCCGTGATCAAACTCATCTTGTTTTTTCTGATTTCTTGGTTCTAGAGCATGCAACAAGAGCTAGACGCTAATCCAGCTTCACATCCTTTCAGTGAGGTGCGTTCATCTGAATCTTACTTTCAGTAGGAATGCCTGACTTTTCAGAGTTCCTCTGCATCTTACTTCTATTCAGTTCAGAGTTTCCCTGAGTTTACTATGGCTAATTTCCCCCATTTCTTGGAGTAGATCATCTATTGCAACCACAGCAACCCACAGTCCCAAGGGCAGCAACCAAACAAGTTCTTCCGGGAGGCGTGTGCATGTGCCCCTATGAATTTACTAGTCATTTATCATATTTTATTGATTTCTGATGATTCTTTTCTTTTCATGCTCCAGGTTCTTGCATTGTGTAATCATCCCCATCTCCTAGACCGGAGTGAGGCCAGCTTCATGTTCAGGTAAGAACTGAACAGAAATTGAGTATTCCTGTCACAATTGTACTTATGGAAGAGATGATCTGCAAGCTATACGTGATTGCCAAGTTCCAATGCTTCAGCTCTGATGCGATAACGAGGGCACGGGAGATTGTAGGCTTCATTCCTGGAAAAACAACTGGAGGATACAGTCACTGTCAGGCAAATTCAATTGTTTCAGAATTCAGAGCAAATGCTGACAAATATGGGAATGAGCTTTCATCAAACTTGACTATTTTTGACAGGGTATTGAAGGGTTGCGTGATGCAATTGCTGCTGGAATAGCTTCTCGCGATGGTTTACCGTCGTATTCGGAGGACATTTTCCTGACAGATGGAGCAGCTGCACCGGTACTATTTAGTTTGATCATTATACACATTGTTTTTTTTTTTCTGGATAATGATGCGACTTTTTTTTTGTCACTGGTAACTGTTGGGCCTCTGGATAGTATTACTCACATCAAACTGTTTTGATAAAAGTTGCGGTTTCGAAGATGCAACCAACAGTTCTCATAATCTGAAAACTGGCTTGATATTCTACGGATATAAGAACTTCAGTGAATGGATGATTTGGTTTAAAGAAAAAACATATGAGTAGAATAGCAAGCTAGGGTTTTTTTTTTTTGTCTGATAATGTTGTCTGTTTTGTACTTCAATCCTTGGCACTAATATGAACTATACATATTCTTAGTATCTGCCTCATATCTGATAAGGTTTTAAATAATGGAGATCATTGTGTTTCTTGATTTCCATATAGGTTCATATGATGATGCACTTGTTGATACGTGGCAAGAAGGACGGCATCCTTTGCCCAATTCCATCACACTCTTTGTACACAGATTCTATGGTTCTTCGTGGCGCAACTCTTGTGTGTACCACATTAACCAGACAGAAGCAAATCTCGATTGATACTAATTACTGTCTTGAACCAATCTGATCTAAGAAAGCAAATTTCAGGTACCGTATTACCTTGATGAATCCAGAGGTTGGAGTGTGAACATTTCAGATCTGAAGAAACAGTTGGATGGTGCCCGGGCAAAGGGCATTGATGTGAGGGGACTTGTGGTGGTAAATCCGGGAAACCCTACTGGGCAGGTTTGTTTACGGATCACTGAATCACGCTATTTCTTTGATTTTAAGGAGTCGAATGTGAATATGTGATTGAATTCCTCGTAGGTTCTTGTGGAGGAAAACCAGTGTGAAATAGTGGAGCTCTGCAAGAATGAATGCCTTGTTCTCCTAGCAGATGAGGTGCCCATTGTATCTTTCTTAATAAGAACATTTGTAGTATTTTCTTCCTTGGCTATTGCAAATATGACATTTACCGTTTCACGACTATCTTTGATAGGTTTACCAAGAAAACATTTACACGGATCAGAAGAAATTTAACTCCTTCAAGAAGGTAGCACGGTCCATAGGCTATGGGGAAGGGGATATATCTTTAGTATCATTCCACTCAGTATCTAATGGTACAAACCGTTTACTTTGTCTCATTCATGATCGTTCTCAAGTTCTAGTATATGCAAATCTTTGTTTATTGCAACTTGAAAAAATAAAGGCAACTCTGTTGTTACTTGTGCTTTTGAGTTATGGTCCTTTTAACTATTAGTTTTGGAACTCATTGAGAGAAAAAAAATACACATAAGATTTTCAGGGAAGGCAAATTTCTTTGACTGCTACATGAATACTATCGATTGAATGGAGTGAATGCTCTTTTATAAGCTGAACTTATTACGTTTACATGAAGACGGCCTGACTCTATTTACTTATCTAGCATGCCATGCACTCTACCTATCAATATATTGGACATTTCTATTTCCCAAGCACTAAGACTCCTTGATTAAGAATGTTCACCACTATAGATGGCCATAAGGCCTGAGGCCTGATGGCCCGGCCCACGGCACGACCATTTTGCCTGGCCCAAGCATGGCATGGCACGACTGGTGTCGGGCCCGTGTCGGCCTGGCCCGACAGTTGGGCCGTGCCTAGGTCGATGCCTTAGCACGGTGGGCCGGCCCGACACAACACGATCAAAGAAAATAAGTTGAGGGATCCAAAATAGACTTAAATCAGCTATATAAGGCATGGCCCAAAGAGAAGAGGGATACAGAATAGACTTATGCCATTCATAAAAGCCACAGCCCAAAGAGATGAGGGAAGAAAAATGGACTTAATATATGGAGAAGCACGATGGGCTGTCCGCTGTCGTGCCTTCGGGCTGGCTCGGCACAGCCCGAGACTTATTGGGCCGTGCCTAGGCCGTGTGTGCAGCCCGTGGGCTGACCCAACCTGGCCTGGCATGTAGGTCGGGCCGTGCCGGCCCGACTGACCTCGGCCCATGCCCGTTCGTTCCTGGGTCGTGCCGGGCCGGGCAGCCCATATGGCCATCTATATTCACCACAATGTATTTTTTTTTTCTTTTCATTCTCCAATAAAATCCTGTTTATAAAGAGGGCCTAACTCTATCTACTTATCTAGCATGCCATACACTCTGCCTATCAATATATTGGACATTTCTCGTTCCCAGGCACTAAGACGGTCCTTGATTAAGAATGTTCTCCACAGCGTGTTTTGTTTCTTTTTCCAATCAAATCCTGTATATCGATCTTTTCTGCCAAATTCTAAGTAGTCTGAACTGTTGGATGTGATGCAGCATGCATTACAAATTCTTTATTGATCAGTATACAACATTACAACTACATACTCTTTGTTGATGGATGTGATAAGTGATAACAAGTATTGTCCTTTTCATCAGGATACTACGGAGAATGCGGGAGAAGAGGGGGTTACATGGAGGTCACTGGCTTCAGCTCGGAAGTAAGGGGAGAAGTATACAAAGTTGCATCCCTAAGCGCATGCTCCAACATATCTGGCCAGATCCTTATGAGCCTAGTCATGAACCCACCAAAGGTCTCTGAATTCTTCACCTTCGGCATCGACTTTTTTTGTTTTTCTTTAAGGGAAGACATCAACATTTTGCATAACTTAATAATCCTCCCTTTTGTCAGGTTGGAGATGAGTCATACCCCTCTTATCGTGCAGAAAGAGACAGCATACTATCATCTTTGTCTTGCTGTGCAGAGGTATCTTATTTCTTTCTTCAATACAATGATTTAAAGCTCTGACTTGTTACGATTTCACTGCGGTAAAGACCATGGTTGGCCAAAACTGAATGTTGCATTTGTGCACTGGTTTTAGGCCATGGTGTCCACATTCAACAGCATGGAAGGGATGACTTGCAACAAGGCTGAAGGTGGAATATCTGTGTTCCCTAGTGTTCGGCTGCCGCCACGGGCAATTGAAGCTGCTGAGGCGATGAACACAGAGCCGGATGTGTTCTATGCTCTCCGTCTTCTCGAAAGCACTGGGATTGTTGTTGTGCCTGGCTCAGTGTTTGGACAAGTGAGTACAATATTCTTACATCTATCTACTTGTATATTATTCAGAGTAGAATATAAACTTAAGACATGGTTTTTATACTTTTCAATGATTAGATGTTCAAGCATTAATACATGTTCGTTGATCTTGCAGAAAAATATTCCTTTTTCTTTCTGCTGGTATTCTAACAAATGTTCCTCTTGTTGGTTATATTCTGCAGGTACCTGGAACATGGCATTTCAGATGCACAATTCTGCCACAGGAAGAGAAGACACGGCAGATTATCTCCCGCTTTAATGTGTTCCATGAAGCATTTATGGAAGAATTCCGCAGCTAAAAGGCGCAAACATTCTTTTTCCATATGTAGTATAACTCTATGTACTTTCTATGACTGATAAGTGATAAGTGATAAGTGTGAGATTTCTACCTGAATCTCTCAGCTGTCATGTTCCAATCCTGTACAGATTATCACATAGAGTCCTACCATCATAAAATTCTCTAGGGTCCTACCATCATAAAAAAATCAGGTAAAAAACATCGGTTTCGGTGTGCTGTAAAAACCAAGGTGGACAAAGTTGGCAGGAAGCAAGTTGGAAGTCCTTGTCATGAGTCATGACACTGAATATATAACTAGGTTCTTTTAATCCAATAATGATACAAGAGTTAGAAAGGGAATTTGTCACCAATTATGTGTCAATTTAATAGCCATGCAATTGTACCTTAATCTATGCAGCTTAACCAATGATTTATGTTGCAGGGACTTCATTGACCTAACTTCCCCTCTTTAAAATGATATCCACCACCCACTAATGGCCATTTTCATGACATCCACTCCCATGGTTATTACTTATTAGTATTGTTCCTGTTTGCAACAGGCCATCATCCATGGATTCCTTGAGGTGCTACTCACCTCACACAATCCTGATTCCGAAGACGATTCGGTCCAGGAATCTGATCAGAGCCTCCATGGATAGCAGCTTCTCAGGTCCTGAATCCAAGAAGGCTCCCAACTCTGTCAGCTTCACCAGCAAGGTCAACAAGGTAACTGTTCTTGCTAGCCTCTGTGAGCATCTGAATCAAATTCTTCTTTGTGCTAATCTGAAACATCATACCATTGTTTTTCAGGTCTATGAAGACAAGAGCATGGGCATCCTCTGCTACACCGACGAGAGCGGCGAGCTGATCTGCGAGGGCTTCGACGAGGGCCCAAGGCTCACCTGGCAAGACATGGAGAAGATCAACAGGGAGAAGTAAGTCATGTTCAGGTTTCATATTTTGAACAGTAGAAGATGCAAATCATCTGAGCTGACCATTCCCCTTGCTCTGAACAACAGGGAACTGAAGGCTGAAGAAGATCGTCGGGAGAGGATGATGCGGATCGGCGTCGCGGGGATCGACTGGAGCAGCCTGCGGACCGCTGTCAGCAAGCCTGTCAGTGTGGGGGAAGAACTGAAGAAGTAAACAAGCTGACAAGCTTAGTGCAGTAGGTTATTTTCTGAAATGTTTCAGATCTTGTAGAAACAAGTTATGCTTGTTTGTGTGTATATAGAGTATGTAGATCGATCTCCATTGCTGCTGCTTTCTCTGGAATAAGGATTATGCTGTGTTTAGGTAGGATTAGGAGGAGACAAAGAGGGGCGTGATGCTGATCTAGCTGGTCAGCTCCTGGCTTCCAATTGATAAAGAGATCATGTAATATATTCTGCTTGGATGATCGTTCAGCTTAATGTTAGTTCCAACTTCCAAGTTGATCAGATTCCTGGTGTCGTGTCGAACCAAGCTGCTGGGAGTTCGTTTGCCTGTCAATTTGTTGCTTGATAAGAAATTCTCTGAAAGTTAATTAAAGAGTTGCTTCATAGGAATTGAAGTTTCTTTTTCTAGGTAAGAAAGATCAGAAGAGTTGATAATTAAGAACTTGAGATGGATGGATTCCGTCCGAATCAGAGCTGCTTGTCCTGGATTGTGATTGGTTGATTTCTGGTGACAAGGAATCCTCGTGGAATTGGGTTCAAATACCATGGTTGAATTCCAAAAATTTCCAAACAGCATTTGAACAGCTACCGCCTTATCTCAATTCATCGATTTTGAGCGTAATTCAGAGAACAAGTGGTGTTACTGAAAATTAGCTTGGACTCAAAATTCGATTGGTTTTGCTGAGCTCAACAAGGTTTAAGCAAATACTAATAACAATCTACGCCAACTGTGGCAAACGAGTCCTTAGCTATGCTTGTCTCATCGACAAGCATTGGGCGCTTTCTAGAGAAAACTTGGAAGATTCGATCCCGGACAATGATGAACTGAAGCTGTGATACGGAAGAGTGAGATGATAATTAAGGCCTCGAGGTCATTTGCATTTCAAGAGTAAATTACATCTATGGCACATGATCATGGTACGCCATAGCTGTATAAATAGATACAACAAAATTTACAAATTGTATGATTCGATATAAGTTAGTCCATGCAAATCCGAGCCAAAACAATTCATATACGATCTGATGTGGCGCGCACTGGTGACCCTTTCACCTGTGAGTTGGAACACACACTATTAGCTGTTCGTAGTTTTGCAGAAAACCCCAGGACATGTAAATTTTTCCATCAAAGTCCCTGCGTCTTTGAGTGCTGTAGGACCCGAGGTAGTCAGGGTCAGGAGTTGAGGTGGATGGTGACCGGTGAGATTGAACTTTGGAGCTGAAAGTTCACTTCAAAGCCAACAAAGAAGGAGGCAGCGACCACGATAAGCAAATTTCACAAAACCCTAGATTTCTGGGCTTCTGTGATGCGAGGTTTTGTTATTCGTTTCATGAAACCCCAGGTTTTGGAACAAAGTGTTTCATAAAACATCAGCTACAAGCTTATATTGTCTATCCGGCTAATATATTTATATCTATAATAAATGTAAAAAGATGCATGAGATATTTTTAAGTACATATACATGTTAGCTGCTTTTGAATAATCGTTTATCATCATGGTATGATCCTTTATGTGTATATTTAACCAATTATATGTTATTATCAGTTAGAATTATGTTAAGTTTTTGTGCATTAAAAATTTGAGAAAAAAATAAACTATATGAGATGAATGTGTACTTTGAGTTAACTAATATGAATTTACGAAAAAAATAATCATATGCAATAATGAAATGTGAGTATTTTACACAATACGAGGTTTATTGAAACATTTTACCCCAAAACTGCTTGAAATAAAACACAATAACTAGGGTTTTGTGTTATGGATGCGTCAAAACCTGAGGTTTTGTGAAATTTACTCTTTTTTTTATATAGAGATGGATTTTCATCTCCAGAAAGAATATCTCATCATTTCTTGCATGCCACCTAAACAATTGTGAAAAAAAATTGTTAACATAGATTACTACGAAATATATCATTTCACAAACATGCAATGCAAATTCAACTTTTACAAGTTGCAATAAAAAAATAAGCTGAAAATAGTTTAACTTACGTTCACAGTTATATTTGTTACGACTTGTAGAAGTTGAATTTGAACTTACATGTTTGTGAAAAGATATGTTTCATATTAATCTATCTTATCAACTTTTTTCATATTTTTTATAAATATTTAGGTGGCATGAAAGAAACGAGGAGATATCCCCTCGAGAGATAAAAACACTATTTTGTTTTCTTTTTGCATGTATTATGTTAGCTAGGGTTTATATAGACTAGTCAAGTTGTTGTACCAAAACGAATAATTTGCAAGTTATTCGAGCTATCTGTATCCACTATGCAAGTTCCTATGACAGGCATAATTTACTCATATTTTAATTAGTTTGTGCTGTTGATTAATCAGTATGTTATATTTTAATGGTGTCGTCTATCTATACACATACTACTTCCGTCTTAAAAATATAAGAACCTAGTATTAGATAAGACACATCCTAATACTACAAATTTAGACATACCATTTGTCGAGATTTATGGTATTAGGATATGTCTCATTCATCAGTATTAGGTTATTATAGTTTGAGATGAAGAGAGTATTAATTAGGCACTTTCAAAAATTCTCACGTTAGCAATAAGGATCCATAGATAGATCTAGTCATGGGTCACCTAGGCCATGATCCTGGACCAAAAAAGGATTAAAGCCCACTATGTTCCTCGATCTTTTTTTATTAAGATGTAGATTTTATATTGGTTTTCGTTAGCATTTTTTAAAATGTATTTTGTAAAAAAGTTTCTACATATAAGTTGCGCTAAAATATCAAATAAATTTATTTTTTAAATTTATAGTAATTAAAACTTAACTAATCATGTGTTAATAGCTTTTTTTTTTAGTAATAAGGATCCATGATGGATCTAGTCATGGGCCACCTAGGCCATGATCCTGGAGCAAACAAGGATTGAAGTCCACTATGTTCCTCGATCTTTTTTAATTAAGATGCAGATTTTATCTTGATTTTTTGTTAGTATGTTTTTTAAACCGTTAAACAATGTATTTTTACGAAAAGTTTCTATATAGAAATTGCTCTAAAATATCAAATAAATATATTTTTCAAATTTATAATAATTAAAACTTAACTAACCACGCATTAATAACTCTTTTTTTTTCCGCGCCCTTACTTAATATCCATCTTCATTAGTTTCATACACCATCATTTAAATGGGATCTCATGACTTGGGCCTAGCCTGGATTTGTCTCTGAAGTGACCTAGCTTCTTTGTGTGATCCCATTATCATAGCTGGACCATATTATCAAATAAAACATGAAATTTTAAATATTGTGGACTCTTTAGTTTTATCCTTTTCAAAATATTCTAATTTTCAAATTCTAAATTAATAATTAACAAGTTATAACTAAGATAAAAGCCACTCTAGTTTATTTGAAAATAACCAATACAACATATGGTTAAGATTTTAATATTCTTAATATCGGTAGAAATAGTCCGTGCAAGACATAGATTGACGACTAGTTTATCTATTTTTTATTGATCTCACAAGACAGTAGCTCCGGCCATCATCACTGAGGTGGTGTTTGGATCGAGAGACTAAACTTTAGTCCCTGTCATATCGGATGTTTGGACACTAATTTGGAGTATTAAACATAGACTACAAAATTAATTGCATAAATAAGAGCTAATTCGCAAGACAAATTTTTTAAGCCTAATTAATCTATAATTAGCACATTTTTTACTGTAGCATTACATAGGCTAATCATGAATGAATTAGGCTCAATAAATTCATGTTGCGAATTAGTCTAGTGTTATGAAATAGGTTTTATCATTAATCTACGTTTAGTACTTCTAATTAGTGTCCCAACATCCGATGTGATAGGGACTCAAATTTAATCCTAGATCTAAAGAGGCCCTGATATTCAATGGATGCAATCATATAAAAATTCTGCTTCTGCTCATTCAATTTATAATTTAATAGAAGAAGAAGAAGAAGGAGAAGAAGAAGAAGAAGAAGAAGAAGGAGAAGGGACAAATTCATAGGACAACATGCTTAACAGTACAATCGTTTAATTAACTAATTAACGGTCTAACGCTAAGCCATAAGCTATATAATTTTGCTTTATGTGGTTCATTGGTTTTGGTACGTTTTATGGTTAACCAACCTAGCTTAGCTATCTATGTACGTAGCTACTCCACTAGCTAATTTGGCCGGCCTTATCTGTAAACTGTAATTTAACTCTCTCTAATAACCAAATTAAGCCACCAACAATCACCAATACCGCTTGCTTGATAGGAGTATTTGGGCAGCGGCCGTCGCGGTTTCGCCTTTCGCTCGCTCGCATAGAGTTGCGTGTGCGTCGCTGCATCTCTGCATGCTTGACTTTGACTTCCGCCGCCACACCCACAACACGACATTACATACGTGCATGGGAGTTAATATTTTTTAGTATGATCGAATGATATATTCATATATATATAAATCTAGCAAATGTTATTGTTATTTTTTCTGTCTACTTTGGGTGAGATCGACCACTGGCGTTTAGTGACAGTAGGGGAGTGACCGAGTGAGCATCTAGAGGAAAAGAAAAACTACTCAATTCCCCCTTCTAAAATATAAATATTTCTAGTTATGAATAGTTAAAAGTTGTTATATTTTAGGATGAAGGTAGTATGCACGATAGCTAGCTAGGTGGGGATTAATTTTAGATGGTTTTTGGACAAACTTTCAAGAGCCCCATCTAGAGTAGGTATAAAAAATTGAATAAAGAAAATGATTCCCTGGTCGGGTTGATGTAACATGGAACTTGTCAATTAATGGTATACAGTGGTCACCAATATGTTAGTAGATATTACTATCTCCGTTTTTAAATATATAACGCCATTGATTTTTTTTAAAACGTTTCATCATTCTTCTTATTTAAATTTTTTGTGCAAATATAAAAAATTTATGTCATGTCTAAGGAACATTCGACGATAAATCAAGTCGCAATAAAATAAGTAATAATTATATAATATTTTTGAATAATATGAATAGTCAACGTATTTAAAAAGGTCAACGTGTCATATATTAAAAAACGGAGGGAGTACAAAGTTATCTCGACTGAAAATATGGGTTCTTAAACTCTACGAACAACATAAGTACTAAACATGCTTTTAAAAGTCAAAATAGAACTTATAGTTATATATAGTATGTGTGTTTACGGTAGAAATAGAATCCAAATTAATCTTAATCCTCTGTTAAATAGATAGAGATGCACCACCTGACATAACAAGGTAGCAAACTTTTAATATTTTTGCACTGCCTTTGCTTGTTGGCGTTCCTACTGCTTTCTTGGGTTGCGTGCTAATTATATTGGCTGGAGAGGGGTACACATTTTTAAAAGAGTAGATGCAAGTCAGAATGTGGATTAGCTCAAATATTCTCCCCTAACAACATAGTTTAAATAAGAAATAACCCCCACTCATATTGATGACTCACTACTGATGCAGACTTGCTTACGATGATCACGAAGCAGATGGAACGACCAAACCCTTACTCGAAAAATAATGCATTTTCACTTATGGTTTATTCAAGGGATAAGTCCATTTTACACCCTCCAACTCTTTGTTTTGTCTAAAATACACCCAAAACTCTAAAACCGGATATTTCAAACCCTCCAACTTTCAATACCATTCACTTTACACCCTCAAGTGGTTTTTCAGCTGGTTTTCACCTGATGTGGAGGTCCATTCAGCAAAAAAATAAAAAAGTATAAATTAGACCCACATGTCAGTGCATAGCCACCTCTTCTTCTTCCCCCATCTCTTCTTCCCTTTCTCTCTCTATCCTTCTTCATCCCAGACCAGGAGAGCAGTGACGGTGGCATTCTTGAGCGCCGACGGAGCTCAAGCATATCCCCAGCCTTCCCTTCCGCGCCGACCACCGGCGAGCACGAGCTCAAGGTTCGCCTCTCCTGCCACCTCCAAGAGCTCCGTCTTCACCATGAAATCGAGCTCGCCGGCGGAGCTTGAGCTACTTGGGGACGTAGAGTTCGGTGGAGGCGACAGAGCTTGGGGACGAGGAACGCAAGCTTGACTAGGCGGCAACGGATGCGGAGCTTGAGCTCGATCTCGTCCTTGACCAAGCGGTGGCGGCGCTCGATCTTGTTCTTGAGAGAAGGGGAAGGTTGGCTGCGGCCACGAGGCCATGCTCGGGAGAAGAGGGAGGTTGGTGGCGACCTCGATGCGGAGCCCGCCTTCTTGGCCGAGGTCGGAGAAGAGGGGGTTGGCTACAAGCTCAGAAAAGAGAGGTCGCCGGCAAGCTCCGGCGAGGGTTGATGGATGCGGATCCACCCCCTCCCCTCCCCCTTGCTGCGGTCGAAGAAGACAGGTGCCAGCAGCGCGGCCTCGAGTCCACGACGAGCTTGATGGAGGAGCCGACGCTGCTAGGCCTCCACCACCACGAGTTTGTCGTCGCCCGCGCTGTGTCTGCCATGAGCTTGCTTGGAGCCGCCCGCGCTGTCTCCGCCTCCAACTCGAGCTTGTTGGGCGGTGTTACCGCCGGCGGCCACGGAAGGGCGTGGAGCTCCGAGCGGCGAGGAGGGGGCGCTCCACAGATGGAGCTCACTGGCCACTTCGGCTGCTCCAGGAATGGAGGGGAGAGTGAGGTAGAGGGGAAGGAAGAAGAAGAGTGGAATGGAACTGACAAGTGGGACCCTCCTCTTTGCTGATGTGTATTTTTTTAGATGTGGCATCTGACGTGGCATCTAGTTGTACCAAAACCAGCCTAAAACCGCTAAAGGGTGTAAAATGTCCGGTTTTGATAGTTTGAGGGTGTCAGATATCCGGTTTTATAGTTCGAGGGCATGATTTAGACAAAGCAAAGAGTTGAGGGGGCGTAAAATGGACTTATCCCTTTATTCAATAGCTCTCTTGTGATAAACCTAATTACAAACTTTTTTTTTGCAACCGTTTATAATAAGTTTATCCTCCAGGAAAGTTCACTGTACTTGAGATGTGGACCTCTCGATCCCCATAAATATATACTTGAGATCCCTATGAATGCATACTTGAGATTGACGAGGTCATTATAGACACCTCGCAGTCGATGAGTATATCGCTTGCACTGAAAAGAATAATTAGTTGTAAATACAAGCAATCGTGTCATGTTTAAGATCACTACTACAGATGTAATTATCCTGGACAGCGGCTCACTTTGGTTCCAGGCTGGCCATAAGTGGCTCCGCCTGCAACCAGGCGAATGCCGGGGTTGGGCAGTGGGCCGCACGGGATAATTGATTATCCCGTGCGGCCCACAGTAGGCGACCGCTTGCGATGGTCGGGGGGCATATAAGCCCATAGCCCGACCGGGGCCATGCATGGCCGGCGTTTTTTCTCTCCTAAACATCCACAAATTAGGGGGGAAGGTTTTTGACCTCAAATCTTTGATTGGGTTCCATATAAAAGGTGTAGAGCTCGTTCTCCTTCTTTATTTGCTTCTATTTTTGTCAGTTTTCATCGGTGGAATACGAAGAAACTTGCAGTTTTATAAATGAAATAGTGTAGGCACCTTTTTGTTTTTTTTATTTTTTTAGCAAATACATATTGCAATCTTTTACATGTTTTTAAAAGTAATTAGCACCTACATTGAAACGTTGGGTTTGCCTCTATTAAGTTTATTTTCATTTGGATGAAAGGACGAATATTTTCATTTTTTAGAAATGGATAGACAGTATTCTATTAATGCTTAAAATTGCTGTGGGGCTGTTTAAATAGTCCGAACAACTCGTGTAGATAGATTCCACTACAAGCAGTATAACCAGTTGAGGTACACTCACTTAGCCTCTCGAAGAGTTCTGTTTGCATACATTTTCAAATTAGGAACAAAATTAGCTCTTCAATTTAGGTCTTCCTTTTAACGTCAGAATTACATAGAAATTAACTTCACAACGATAAAGCTAATTTCCAGTGGAAAATGCGCTCATTCTTGACAGAAGTGACATTTATGCAATAAAAAATGCACCGCAATTCACCTCTACCCACGTCTCATCTACTCGTTCAAATGATTTTTTTTTCTCACGTGGCACCATATAATACATGTATGTAAACCAAACCTTTTAATTAAAAAACCCGAGATAAAAATATGTCAATTTTCAAAATAGTGACCTAGCTAGCTCCTAGGTAGCAACTAAACTTGAACGAATTTGTACCCCAAAATATAAATAAAAAATGCCATCTTTTAATTTTCATTCAAAGAAAATTATATCTCCGTCCCATTATAAGTGTAGTTACGATTTTTCATATCTAACATTTGACCATCCGTTTTATTTGAAAAAAATTATGATTAGTATTTTTATAGTTATTAGATGATAAAATATGAATAATATTTTATGTGTGATTATTTTTTGTAGTTTTATCATAAAATTTTTAAATAAAACTGACCATCAAACGTTGGACACGGAAACTTACAACTGCACTTATAATGGGTTGGAGATAGTATAGTACAGTAGTACATAAATTTGTCAACTTGTGATGATCAAGTACGTACACTCCCGCCAAAGTTTAACGTACTACCTTTCTTCCTCCTTTATAAATATAAACCCCCATCGTCTTCTCCGATGTCTCAAACCCAATCAAACTCCAACCAAACTCACCTACCTACCCCCAACCCATCCAGAGCTAGAGCTATGTGCGGCGGCGCGATCCTCGCCGACCTCATACCGTCGCCGCGCTCCGGCGGCCACACCAAAAAGAACAAGCGGCGGCGGATCAGCGACGACGAGGACTTCGAGGCCGCCTTCGAGGAGTTCGACGCCGGCGACGACGACTCCGACTCCGACTCCGAGTCCGAGGAGGTAGACGAGTACGACGTCGTCGTCGACGACGACGACAGCGAGGACGGCGTGGTGGTTCTTCCGCCGCCGCCGCCGCCGCCGCCGGTGATTCCACATGGTGAGGCGATCGATCGATCAAGAATTGGTTTGCATCAGCTGCAGAATTTAGCGTGGACTGAGAGGAGTTTCTTGTTGTGTTTGTCTTGTCTTGAATCTTGCAGAGCGCCATGGCGCGAGGCGGTTCCGCGGCGTGAGGAAGCGGCCGTGGGGGAAGTGGGCGGCGGAGATCCGCGACCCCGTGCGCGGCGTGCGCGTCTGGCTCGGTACCTTCCCCACCGCCGAGTCCGCCGCGCGCGCCTACGACGCCGCCGCCCGCCGCCTCCGCGGCGCCAAGGCCAAGCCCAACTTCCCCTCCGCGCCGCCGCCCTCGGCTGCTGCTCACCGCCGCAAGAAGCGCCGCGCCCACGCCGCCACGCGCTCGCCGTCGTCTCCGCCCGCCACCAGCGAGGTCACGGCGGCGTCCGCGTCCGCGTCCAGCGATGTCCCCGCGCCGGCGTTCGCTTCCTTCGTCGGCGAGCCCGGGCACGGCGGCGCCAAGTCGATGCCGACGACGAGCCACACCTCGCAGCCAGCCCCGCCGGCGACGGTGGCGTCCGAGAACGTCGACGACCCGGAGGTGTTCGACCCGTACGACGTCCACGGCGGCCTCGCCTCCTACTTCGCCGGCGGCGCGTACGAGTCCCTGGAGAGCCTGTTCGCGCACGGCGGCGACAGCGCCGCCGTCGACCAAGCGGCGAGCGACCACTGGCCGGCGGCGCTATGGAGCTTCGCAGACGACGGCTCGTTCTGCTTCTGATGCTGTCAAATCACATCGCCATTGGCGGCCATTGCAAGCCATGGCATGGCACCTGATGATGCTGATCCAGTGAACTGGTCACTCGTTCTTGATGCGTTTTCAGTTTCTTGTACAGTGTTTTTCCCCAGCAACAGTGAAGTAGTATTCAGTTATTCACTGTTCAGTCATGAGTTCATCGCAAAATATGATGTAAGTATGTGTCTTGAGATTGTTTTAGCAGTGGCTTTTGTTTGTATAATGTATTTCTCTGTAATTAATTAATAGCTGTTTTCAGTGATAAACTAAATTTTCTGAAATGGAAAAAATGAACATGACCTATTCGATCCAAGATCGCAAATCCGCAACAGGCGAGGATGATATATACAGCAGAGTATAGGTTCAGTTTTCGAAATAGCTCTGAGAGGAAAAATATTCAAGATTACTGAACAATCCATCATCCATGGCAAATACAACCCACTTAATTATCTGCATGATGAAAAATAGACTATTGTCATTTCTGCTACAGTACTTAACTTCCCTTTTAGCCCAAAAATCGACCAACCAAATCATGTTATGGTCTTTCTCATGCATGGAAATTTTTAATTTCTTTTCAATAGTTAAGAAGAGCAAGACAGAGGTTACGCCAAACATTTTAATAGTGAAAAAATAACCTCACTAATACCTCAATGGAACGTGCTATCAGCATTGTCTTAGAAACTACATTAAAATTAGAGGGAAAAACAAATTCGGGCATTGCCACGGCTATATACATTATAACATAGGAAGGATTAACTAATTGGAACATGCACAAATGGGTGTTTGAGATCCTATCCTTTCTTCTATGTGACGATTGGTGAGGTGTTGTTTATCATTTCCTTCCAACTCGTCGCATCAAAAGCTATGCTCAATTAGCTGATTAGTCTAAGTCCAAGGAAGGATACTTGCATGATGGGTTTTCGGTTTAGTTTAGGTTAGGCAACAGCAATACCAGCTTCCATGATACAAGGGCACGGCACTGGTTTTGATTATATTAGACCCAAGGCTAAAAGCCACAACAATATATAATGCATTAACTTTTCTTGAAGAGAATGAACTATTGTTAGTTTATTATATATTGATGTAGGAATTATTTATCATGTTTGGATTTGGTCTGTCTAATCACAAGATTAGAAGTACAAGATTAGAAGTACAGGATTTCTCCAACATTGACAAAAACAGAACCTTCAAACCAACCAAATGTTTTGCCACCTTCAGGCTATAAGCAAAGAGCTTGCGAGCCTCTCTTGCTATTTTTCATCAAAATGGATATCTAAATACAAATTTGAGAAAGCAGAATCCAGAACTCGACATCGTGAACAGACCTTCCATGATGGGGGCCTGCAACCTGTTACATAGGCGTCCCCTTTGAAGGGTCGGAATAAACCCCAACACAGAAGCACCAATACAAACACTCACCATAGGCCTCTAGGGTGGGGCCGTCACCGATGACACCCATCGATAATGGGGATAGGTTGATGCCTGGCAAAAATTATGGTTAAAGCCCATCTCCGATGATTACGGTTATTGATGGTCTCCATTTATTGGCCGTTGCCGATATTACACACTATAAATATCCCAATCCCTTCTTGTAGTGGTTATCCCGACCAAATGTATTGTTCACATTTGTGTGGTGGGAGGGCTAGGTGGGCGAATTTTTCCATTTTTAAAAAAAAAATTAGAAAATTTAGAAAAAGGCTATCTAGGTAGGGGTGGATTTTGAGCTGGCTTGGCCCGGCTCAGCTCGGTCTGGCTGATTGGGATAACGAGCTGGCTCGGCTTGTTATCCTAACGAGCTAAAGTCCTGGCTTAGCTCGGCTTGTTTGAAAGCTCAAGCTAGCTCGTTTGGCTCGTGAGCTAGAGCGCACAAGCAGAACAAGCAACGAGGTGGACGACAAGCGAACCGATGAAGCGAGCAGGAGAACCGCGTGGCTAGTAGCATGGTAGTGCTCGCTGGACCTGGTCATAGCAGCAGGCTCCGCGACACCAGAGCGGGAACTCATCGGAGCACTGGTACCGCGTCAGCACCGGAGCTCCAAGCTTGTCGTCAATCCGCACCTCGCCTCTCGAGCTCCTGGATAAGATGGAGAAGGATGGCAGGCAGCAACGGCACACGCGGAACGCCCCACGAAAAGGAGGAGAATGGGGGCGGGGCGGATGGCGGCGCAGGATGCAAGCTGTGGCACGCGCACGTGCAATAGGTTAAAGCATGCATCGGCTGGAGATCCGATATTGTTAAATCCAAATGATTAGATAATCAGTAAAACATTTGTTGCAATCGGCTAGAACCAACTTATATGTAATCCTTATAAGCCGATGCAACGTCCAGATAACTCATAGGCTGAAACCCTGATGAAACCCTTATTGGCAATCAAAGGCAAGTTAGCTTTTATGATTCTAAACACGACTTAGTAGGTCAAAACTAATTGATGCAACACTAAATGTGAAAAGAAGCATAAAGTCTAAACAATCAAGCCTTTGATTGATTTTTAGGGTGGTGGACACATTATATTATCTAAGCCAACAAAGTAATCTAGCCAATATCGACAAAACCCTAGATAGAGATCGGTCGATGCAAGTAGAAAACACTATCAATCTAGATTATATAATGTATATGATAACTCGATGTCATACATGGACAAGATTAGAGTGTCGAAGCGATGGAAGCACTAATCCCGACAATGCAAGCAGCCATAACAAGCCTTACCCCTCGTCGGAGATCGAAGCTAATTAATGCAACCCCAACTTAAAACAAGAACTAGCTCATCGAGAAAGACGAAAACAAAAAGGGTGGTGATTTATACCCATGGATAGATACTAGTTCTTATTGGACAAGACATAAACTTTCCTAAAGATAAAGTAAAAGATACAAGTCCTGATTGAACTCTAAACACACTTCCCTAAAAATAAAAGGAAACTACCCGACTATGCCTAATTAATAGATAATTCCCAAGTTGTGTCTTCCTTGAACTTGGTCTCTTCTAGATAAACTTCATTTAATTGATTAATTTCCTTAATCGAATCCATCAAGAATCCAACTATTGGCAGCTGACAATTTCCATCAGCAAATTCCAAGACTCTGAAGTCGATACTGACTCTAGGCCGATGATGACTTCGGGGCTTACCAAATTTTGGCGTTAACATATACATATATACAGTTGCTACAATTTAAATAATTTGATCTATTCTTTGATATGCAACAACAATTTATATTTCTCCGTTGATTTTTGGAAGGCAGTTATAAGGGGGGTTTTATGATTCGATAAATATTAATGACCATATTTGTTTCGCTTCACTGTTGTCCTTTATCTGTATTTGATAATATTTCTTTTTGTTTTCATGCCATGGATATTCGTTTTTGTTTCTGAATCCGAAATGAATATGAAAAGAATTGTGGACAATTAGTTTCCTTCGGTATCTAAGCCATTTTTCATCTCTACTCGAGTGCGGTGGAGCTCATCAGTGGATCTAGGTTGCGGACAGGGGTGGGAGCAGAAGTATTTGCAGTGGTTCTAGGCATGTCGGCTACCCAAGATGGAGGAGAGGTAGAGTGAGAGGAGAAAGATAAAGAGCACCGGGGGGGGGGGGGACAAAAAAAAGGTATTTCGCATGCTGTTGTGGAAAAAGTGGGTTGCCCCCCTCAACTATGTGGTAAACTGGCATTTTTACGAAGTCCTCTACTTTGTGCAACTAGAGAAACTGCACGGATGAAGAAAAAAAAGCCTAAACCATTTTTATGTCCTGCTTGAATCCAACCAATTAACATGAAAAAACACCAAATAACAATATAGAGAAGAAGCAATGATGAGATATTGAGACTTTATAGAACACGTGTTCGAGAAAAGAGACTGTATAGAACAAAAACAACGTTTTTTTGGGCTGTAATTACAGAGGAGACAATTACATCATGAACAAATACTCCTTTTAACATTCCATCTTTATCTATGTGGTCAACTAAGCTAAGAGTTTACACAAATTGAATGTCACAAGGATATGTTTCTTCATATATACTGAATGCACATCAACTGACCCGAGAAGATTGGCATCTTTCACTAACCCCATCATCAGATCCACTTATAATACCAGAACTGAATTGAACTTGAATGGACTGTGAATGTGCTCCTTGTTAAGATTCTCCTATAGTAATCCCAAATCATGTCTATTTTACATAGATGCCAGGATAAATGTTTTTATGATATTCCTTGCAGAGCATCCTATGAACTGTTGCCTAGACCAGTATAATTTCACACTAGCCACACTTCTTTTGCAGGTATCACTACAATGTTGCAGATGGTACGTTGGCACAGCATATTACAGAAGGAAATGAAGATGGATTGTTCATTAGTTCAGTAGCTTCTTGTTCGAATCTGTGGGCTTTAATAATGGATGCTGGCACTGGCTTTACTTCTCAAGTATATGAACTTTCTCAACATTTTTTTCACAAGCTGAGTAATTATAGTAGTCCTTTTTGTTTCCTCCATGCTACCGGTTTCATATCCTTCACGCAACGTGGTTAGATATGTTGCAGATTTTTGAGATTGTTGGATGGTTGTACAGCAGTGGAGTTTCTTCTATTACCTGATAGAGATAAACAATTAAACTTAGAATAGTGGTAGATATATATTAAAATGCAAATAAACTATAACATAGTGGGGTTTATATTTAAAGGTGTCAACCAAGTAACTATTACATAGCCTGATCAGTTGTTGTAACAGACGGTATAACTTTGATATTGTAAGCTCACCCATGATCTAGTTTGGTCACTATTTTACTAATTAACAAATATTAGTGTTTATCATAGTATAAACAGGTCAAGACCTAGGATTCAATGCCACAACTAACAGTTAGGATAATATCAAATCTATCAATTTCATGTTGGTCTTCATTAGGACTCACTTGCCTTTGGCGGGTGCTAGCCAAGCCAAAACCTCCAAATTGGAGGCTTTCCCAGTTGGGGTTGGAAATGTCCCAAGAATTTGAAATAGAATGCAAACATCAACAACTTCTCTATTCATTCAAAAAAAATTGTTTCGTTCAAAACGTCTTATTGCTTTTGTCAGGGATATGATATTTTAGTAGGTATATAACTAAAAGCCACTTACATGTTTGGAGAATTCTGCTTTTCACTGTCCATGTAAGCATTGCTCACAAAATGTTGGATGTTCCGGGTCAGCTTATTCATTGCACTCCACTGCCCTTTTTGCTTCCAAAACTCCTAATGCATCAAGAAACATTAGTCACTTAGGCGAATTGCATGGAGTTGGAATTCTGAAGAAAATGTGTGCACTGTTTATTGTCTTGCAAGTTGTATAATTCTGAACTGCCATTTGCAGCAACTAAATTTCAAGATCTAAGTACTAATGCAGGAGGTGCCCACAAGTAAGAAGAAAATAAATTATTGAACTGCCCAACGAGCTCTTTTCAATATTCAAACTGGCTTGACAATTTAAGTGTAACATAAACCTTGTTTTGAGCAGCAGAGCCAGTAAACTGAAGAGCCAATGCATCCCCCATTTCCTCATAGAACAGCATCAAGGTGCTTGACAAGGGCTCTTCTATATGAATCTCCAAACCCTTAGTCTGCACCAATGCCTTCAGCTGGCGCCCCAAGCCGACTAGTCCATCCACAATTTGGGCTCTGTTTGTGCGGTCTCGGCTGTCTATGCAGTTAGTCTTGAGCACTCCCTTTTGCAGCACAATTGGCAGTATCTCTATTATCCCAAATTTGGGTTCATTCATGCTAGTACTGCTACTTGCACTGGTAACATCGTTTTGTTCCCTGTAATACATGTCGAAAGTAGAATAAGAAAAAGAAAACAATACTATTCAAGGTGGTATCAGTATGCAAAGGTGCACAATCTAAACATGTAGTAATGATAAATCTAGAGTTCTGTATATGCCATGTTACACTACAGTACATTGCTAGTGTGTATATTGCTCTGAAATTTACCTTAGAGTGCGATCAGGTAACGATGTTGTAGTAAGTTGGCAATGTAGAAAGTCTGAATGAGCTAATGAGGCAAATCCCACCATTAGCAAGCATGGAAACAGCTCACAGCTGCAAACAACATGTGTTAACATTTGAAGAGAAAACTAATTATAAACATGAAGCTTGACAGAGGCCAAATTTAGAAAGGGAGTTCTGTTTAGGGAGAACAATAAATCACCTTCAAGTCTTCAAGTCCATATGAATAACCATTAACTGCTTATCATTTGATAACCCATTGTTTATGTGGTCAATGGCTTTCGCATATTGTACGCGTTGCAAAGACTCACGAGGCTTCTTCTCAATAACCTGAATAATTGTCAATTGGAAAATTGGTTTGTGGAGATGAACAGTGTGATGAGCAAAGTTACAAAAAAAAACAGATGATGAGCAAAGGATTACCAAGCCAGGAAACTAATTTATATATGCAAAATCTATGAGGGATGAACCATACAAGTTATTTTTAAAGAGCAGATTATAAAAGCATACCTCGACCAAATCTTCGATTTCCAGGCTCGTCGGCTCGGTGCGGTCAATTTTCAGCACCCACCATGTTTCGTCCCTCCTGAACAGGTAAGAGAGTTCTAAAAAAAAAAGAACACGGGATGAAAATGGTAAACACATATGAAGATTTACATATAACTGTTACTCCCTCCGTTTCACAATGTAAGTCATTTTAACATTTTTCACATTCATATCTGTCTAGATTCATTAACATCAATATAAATATAAAAAATGCTAAAATGACTTATATTGTGAAACAGAAGAAGTATATATTATTTAGACTGCCTTTGACATCAATTGAAATGATTTAATTTTGAGAGGAAAGAAAGAGCCGTGTGCTACGGTCTGGCGGCTGGGATGACCAAGGGGGCCCACAAGGCAGCCACTCAGCCACGCACGCACAGTGTCAGCTATCACCTGAGCAGCTGATCAGTTCGTGAAACAACTGCTGATTTTTTTGGAAGAAGGTGAAAATAAAATCCTATCATAAGGTCCTGGGATTAGTACTGTCTACTGATTAATCTAGCGAGATGTGATACATTACACTCCTCTCTAGCTGTATGATCAAGTTTGTTCTGTGGCTGTGCATGGTGCTCATGCTTCCTCTACAACTGGCGCTGCTGCTGATTAGTTCTGCTGGAGTTTATTGGCGCGGTGGCTACTGGCTAGCTGGCTGCCGGATACTGCCAAGGTCTGTAAGATTTATGCAGACACACCGGCTCAACCTTTGCATATTAATTGGCAGACACCCCAAGTAAAAGTTTTATTTGTTGGGGTTAAAACTGAACCTCGTAGTTGCTTTCAACGACTAGGGATTAACAAGTGGAGTGGGGGGGGGGGGGGGAATTCGGATATAGGCCGGGTAGTTATCTCGAATTCTCGCTATGAGCGCGATTCAAATTGTAAGTTTGTAAGCATGATTTTTTTGAATTTCAACCAGTATGAAATAGATCTAGAGAAATAAATTTGAACAGATGCGTACAATTTTTGGCTGCCAGAAAAAATAAGTCTCGAGTATAGCCAAGCTTTGAGTCTAACTACATATGGTGATTGGACTAAGAAATCAACTTTTTTTTCAACTGGTGGCAAGTTGTAGATCTAGAAATTTTTAGAACATGACAGAATCATCGACATCATCAGTTACCAATGACACATTGTTTTCAATTATTAGCGTGAGCCGGTGAGCCCAAGGTAAATAGACTTGGTCTCCACCAGTGGTGGCTCTAGCCACCTAGTGTTAACAGAAAGTGGATCAGTCACCAGCTCCATGCCTCTGATGTTAATCCAGACTAGTTTTCTTACTAATTTTATTTTTCAAGATCTAGACCTAGCTTCATAACAAAATGATCAAACATGGATATAATAAGATAGATCTAAGATGAAACTGCTAACTTGCTTCTATCTTGAGAATTCAGAGAAAAAAGGTTTGGATATATATTTACCTCATAGTAATGGCCCGGATGACGGAGGTCGCATGAAGTGGTATATCTAGGCGAGCAGATGTTTTGGGGAAGACATGCTCATGATAATGGAAAAGGAAGAGGGGCCACTGACGGATGAACGAGGATGGGAATGATTGAGGTGGCCTGGGGCGCATTTTATAGGACGGAACGAATGTTCTAGACCAACCAAATGACGTCATGAATAATAAAAAGGAAAAACTTTTTGTCACTCTACTTTAGTATCAAAAATTGCAAAATGTGCCGACAATAATAAATGATTTATATAATTAACTTGATCATGTAATATCGTTTCATTTTATTTATGGCAATTTTATTGTTTTTAATCCTTCGGGTCTTCCAGTAAATAAATAACACATATTGAAAGTTAAACCCTTGGTTGAAAAGAAAAAAGAAAAGAGGAACACAATTACCAACCAACTAAAGTATGCTTAATAAAGGTAGGCCACAGGTGAAACAGTTTTGCACATCACCAAGGACCTAAGTGAAAAATGCTAATGCATGCTCCTAAGATTAAAATAGGTGACATGGAAAATCCAGTGAGCAGGAAAAAAAAAGAAACTTTTGTAATTAAACTTTTCCTTTTGAAATTTAATATAGCGTAGGGGCCTCCCTACAGTTTCACCGTAAAGGGAATATTTTCTACAAGCTTTATAATTGACGTGGTGATGCAGAAATGCCTCACGCAACATGGAAGCGCCATGATCTGACAGCCTTGTACTTCATGAAAGCCTTGGGTGATTTTGTTTGGATCACTCCTTATGTATTGTATTGTAGTAGTAGCCAGCCACTTTTGCTGTTGTATCTTGTTTTTTCCCTAACAAATTTCACTTTCTGTTTGTATCTTGTACTACAAGATGATTAATACATCCATAGTGAACAGAAAGTGAAAGATACAAACCGCCTCAAATTTGTCAACATATAAAAAGGAACCTTTTTCATGTGGCCAACTCAAAGAGGTTAATGTATCTTTAAACTTTACCCCACATTTTCTGTAGTGTGTCTAATATTCTTATTTCTTTCGCTACGTAATGTCTGGACAAATAAATAGAGTTTAATCTTGCCACAAAATGCACATTTCTCTCATGGTCCTAGGGGTCCACTCTTGGCCACACTAGACCACCAAGTTGCATGACGCTGCAAGTGAAGCTTCTAGAGTCCTTTCTTCACATAACTTCAAAAAAGTGTATAATAGTCTTGTGAGTAAGATCAAAATTGGACATTGTAAAACGTGTGGTTAATTCACACCTTAAGAGATGATAAGTGGTTCGGAACGTGCTTTCTTTATGTGGTATACCGAACTTCGATGGGGCTTATCAATGATGTCGATAGTGGCGGGCCTTCTGGGGATATTGTAACTTCAACGGGGCTTATCTTATGATCTCTAACGTCGAGAAGGTATATGTCCCAATACCCTCAGAATATGGTCTGCGGGTATCCCCTGTCTAGGCTTATCTTTGATGCCGAATTTCGACACCGTCAAACTTTCGCTCCAGCTTCCTGACATCGGTGAGGTATTTGGCTAACTCGGGGTTGGAGCATTTGTAGTCCTTGTGCACTTGATTGGCGACCAACTCTGAGTCCCCTTTCACAATTAATCGCTTTACTCCGAGTGCTACGGCGGCTCGTAACCCGGATGGTAGCCCTTCGTACTTTGCAATGTTATTGGTTGCTCGAAAATTGAGGTGTATTGCATGTCTGAACCGATCTCCAGTTAGAGATGTTAGAATAAATCCTGCCCCTGCTCTTTGGCTGTTGAGTGCTCTATCGAAGGTCATTTTTCCATGTCTCGTTATCTGTTTGATCAGCTATACTGTTATCAGGAATAGTCCAGTCGGTAACAAAATCTGCGAGAACCTGGAACTTGATAGCTGTTCTCAGAACGAAGTGGACATTAAATTGGCTAAGCTTGATGACCCACTTGGCAATGCGTCCTACAACATCTTTGTTCCTGACCACCTCGCATAGGGGGAAAGAAGAGATGACCGTGACTTTGTGGGCCTAGAAGTAGTGAAGCGGTTTCCATGATGTCATAATCACAGCGTAGAGCAGCTTCTGTATTTGGGGATATTGGGTTTTGGCGTCGTGGAGGACCTCGCTGACATAGTATATGGGGTGTTGTACTTTGTCCCTCTCGACAACTATGACGGTACTAACAGAATAAGGTGTGGCGGCAATATAAAGGAATAGCTCTTCCACTGGTTGACGGACAACCAGTACAGGGGGTTGGACAAGTACCGTTTGAGCGCGATAAACGCGTTCTCGACATCCTGCGTCCACTCAAATTTGTCCTACTTTTTAAGGAAAGCGAAGAAAGACGGTTCTCGTTCTCCCATACTGGCAACGAATCAACTTAGTGTTGCTATGCATTTTGTCAACTTCTAAACTTCTTTGAGTTTTGTGGATGACTTCATGTTCTCGATGGCCTTGACCTTCTCAAGGTTTGCTTCAATTCCTCGTCCGGAGACAAGAAAACCAAGTAACTTCCCCGATGGTACTCCGAAAGTATACTTCCCTGGGTTCAGCTTCAGTAACCCTGACAGTATTGCATAGTTGCATGGCCTATGGGGCAGAGCCTAGCTATGGGACACACAACCTCTCCTATGACTCCATGTTGTTCTTCAACATGTGTACCACATAGAAAGTTTGCTATGCACCTCTTGTTCATCAATCTCAAAACGGTTTTTTTTATTTGTGTCGCCACAAAATCTCGTTGATTACAGTCGAGTTTTCAGCCCTTTGATTTTGCTTTAGATTAGTGCTGAATATTATGTTTGTGTATGCGTGGTTCGCGATCCGCGCTGGCTACCTGCAATCTATCATCGATGTATTAGTGATCGAGAGTAGATTATCGCTCAAACATCGAATGAGTGAGAGAAAGAAACTCACCCTAAAACTAACACTACAGACCTATATGTGCACATCTTTTCTATCAGGTAATGTGTTAATTAAGTGTAATTATTAGAGATGACTAACGAAGTTAATTACTAGGGGCGAATCTACCGTTGGGGCTAGTTGGGGGCTTGGGGCTTAAGCCCCAGCTCCATTCACATTAATGCCCAATGTATTTCTCTACTCCAGGGTTAGTTAATTAGGCAAATCTCATCAAAGAAGGGTATGAAGTAGAAAGGGCATGGATGCAGCGGGAGGATTGAGAAGATCCTGACGCCGTCTTGGGCATTGATATGTCCTCTAGTCAGCTAACAGTAGTTTGGGTCAGGTGAGAAAACACACGGCCGATGGCAACATACTAGAGCCTCGTAGATTTGTTACATTTTCACAGTGCAGTTTGTTTTCTTTCGTTTTAGGTACAAGTTTGATGTTTTGATTGGTGATAGACTGGTAGATATGTTTGTAGTAGTTTTTCATAAGCCCCACCTTAATTTTCATTAGATTCGCCACTGTTAATTACACCCCACTTACATCTCATTTACACATCACTTACACATGTAATTACTATATAATCTTGGGACTTACAATGTAAATACATGTTGACTATGTTTTTAGTGAAAAATATAACGCCATAAATATAGCTACTTCCATTCCAAAATACGGTACTGCAAAGAATATGTATCCCCTAACCCTTCACTAAGAGGAACAAAAAACCATAACTCCTGACCCCTCTTCCTCCTTTTAAGGGACTATTTGGTATGGCTCTATCTTCTATATCCCAGTTTCAAACTCCAATTTTAGTGAAAGCTAGCTTATATAGGAGGTGAAGATTGTTTCTAAAGTGTTTGGCTAACTTGGTCAGCTTCCAAAAGACCTGAAAGAGAAGATAGAGAGGAGATGGATAATCCTACCTTGTTTTTCTGTTTATTTAATGTACGATTAATAATTATTATTTTTCCTTAATAATTGGACGTGTCAATAGTTGTAAGGAGGAATTAATTCATACCATCCATCCCAAATCTAATGCCCAACTAGCCAAAGTGGACCCCACAATCCATAGGAGAATGTATGCCTCGTAGCAAATACTACGCTAGATATATTTGTCCCGCACATTACATAGTTCACGAAAACAAAGGAACATTAGGCATGCATACTACAAAATACTCCCTCCTTCCTAAATGTTTGACACCGTTAACTTTTTTAAACATATTTGACCGTTCGTCTTATTCAAAAACTTTTGTAATATGTGTAAAACTATATGTATACATAAAAATATATTTAACAATAAATCAAATGATAGAAAAAGAATTAACAATTACTTAAATTTTTTTGAATAAGACGAACAGTCAAACATTTTTAAAAAAGTCAACGGCATCAAATATTTTGGGATGGAGGTAGTATGTGCGATGGAATTTAAAGATGCATTAAGCTCTTCTATATAGCTACATGAAAAAAGTGGGTGCTTTCTTATGTCAATGAATTTGAACTGGTTAGTACTATCCACCATATATGAATGTATAAAACATGTCATGGTGTAATGCTAATGATATATATTGTCAACTAGTTGGTTTTTGACAATTATATTTTTCTAAAAAAAGCGATTAATTTACATTTATTAAAGCAAATGTACACAAAGCATTTTGAGATGGAATATACTAATAATCAAATGACATGTGTCGCATAAACCCTTGGACCATGTATCAGTGAGCGAGTAGTAGCGTAGGAGTACTGTGCATCTGCGCCGCAGAAAATCTCGATCGGAGGTTGGGTTGGGCCGCCTTTGGACACATCGGATCGATCGGTTCCAAACCAAAGTTCCACCGTGAACCACGTCCACGCACATCCCTTCCCAATTCCCATGGACCGGCCGCACCACACCACCCCCGTACACCGTACACCAATCCGACTCGTCCGCCCGCGTCGGGGCCCCACCTGTCAGTGACACGTCCCCCGCGCCCAAACCGCTCCTCTCTCTACATAGGTGACCCGTACACCGAGCTCATCACCTCTTCTCTCTCTCTCTCTCTCTCTCTCTCTCTCTAACTCCCCCGACGAGAGCTCGTCGTCGGCGGCGGCGGCGGTGGCGGAGAGACGCGTAGGGGGGGAACCCTCGGTGGCGGCGGCGGGCGGGGTGGGAGGACGTGAGGTGAGCCCCCTCGGGGCGCGCGGAGATGGGGATCTCGTTCAAGCTGTCCAAGGTGGGCGTCCGGGTCCACCCCGCCGCGCGGGTGGCCGCCCCGGCGCCGGCGGCGGTCGCGGCGGAGAAGGCGGCCGAGAAGGAGGCGAAGCGCGAGGTGAGGAGGAGGGTTTCTGGTTGCTTGCTCGGGTGGGTTTTGGTCGATACATGGTCGGTGGAGGCGTTGGGGCGCCGGCGATCTGGGGGCTTTTTGTGGGTGGAAGAGTTGGGGGGTAAACAAAATTTCGAAATTTGGTTGGTATCTCGTGGCGAATTTGCGCCCATTTGGGTTGTGTGTGATTGTTGTCGTCGTCGTCGCGGAAAGGTCGGGTTTTTCCGGCGATTTTTGACTCGAAACCTCGTGCTTTTGGTCCCGCGTAGAGGATTTTACACTCCAAATTGTGGTTTTTTTTCTCCTACCCTGAATGGATTGGTTTGAAAGTGAAATTACGCGTTAGAGATTGTATCTGGAGTGCTCTTTGGTTGCGAATTGGTTTAAATTTTTCTCGAGTTCAAAGCAGTTTGTGAGAAAAAAATCGAAATATTTTCGTGTTTCTTCGGAAGCATTTACACGGAAGCTTGATCTTTAGGGTTAATGGATTTAGAGGGCAATAGCATGTCAGTGATAAGGACTAAATAATCCTTCTTTTTTGTTTACTATTTTTCTGTTTCATCCTAGATCCTAACATTGTTGACCATGGATATTTATTGGACTTGTGGTTTATTATGTAGTTTGGGAGGATTTGGTCTTGAAAAAAATGCACAATTAAGCATGTTAAAATCCCTTCTCATTTGAATACAAATATGATTTCTTCCCAGTTTCCACATTGGTTAGTTGTCGTAGGATCATATAATCCATCTGGTATTCTGGTGGATACATCTAGACCTTTGAGGTTAATCATTTTAAGTAATGTGATGATGAAGGCTAAGTTCTAGGTGTGACACCAACACACTTACCGTTCCATTTTCACTGGGCAGTAGACAATTCAAAATTTGATCCCTGGTGTTTCCTTAGCTCAACTTGGCTTCCTAAAAATTAGGAAGGCCTCAGTTTGTGATATATCTTGTTTGTTTCGAATTTTGTCCGGCTGGAGATTATTTTTATGGTTTTTGTTTTGTTGCATAATTTTAGTATGCAACTTTCTTGCCTTAAGAATCATTTTTCCTATCTACCATGAAATGCTGACATGTGCTCTTTATGTAGGATGGTGTTGTTGAAAGAGCTAGTGATGCCAATGGCATCACGATTTCACCAGCATGCTCTAGGATAATTTTGCCAGGTATTGTCAATCAAAAATGTTTATCCAAAATCATTCTGTTTAGCTACATTTGATACTAAATGGTCAACATTGTGTGCAGAGCACGAGGTTTCCTTCACTTTCAGTCTGTATGATAGAGGCTATCTCATTGCAAAGTCAGCAGCGGTGTGTTCCCCAACTATAATTTTCTGTAGTGAATTATAAAATTACTATTTCATCATATGGAGGTTCAACAGAAATATGTTATTTTAATCTAAATTCCTTTTTATTCAGATGGATCCTTGCCAGCCATCAATACAGGATGGAAAAACACTTCATCCCTATGACAAGGCGTCTGAAAAATTGTTTTCTGTAAGTATGTTGTATTTCTTTTGTAGTTCTACATCTGGTAGCCTATGTCAGATGGTCTTTTCTATTTGATCAAGATTCTTTCAATGGTGGGTTATTGGATGGAACGCTTTGAGGTTGCATGTATGAGATGTCCATGAAATTTAACCATGTGATTTTCAATGTATACGATACATCAATTTGCCTGCATATTTACTGATTCACCAGCCTTCGCTGTCTTATTGTTACTGATGAAAGAGGAGAATAGATTAATATCATGAGTATTTGTACATAAATGGCGTGGGCAGAAACAATTTGAAAGACAATAACCTTTATTTAGTTTTCTTGATAATGCAACACTTTACTTTTCTATCTAATGCAGACATTAATCTAGTAATTGTTATCTTATCGCTTTTTCCAACGATACACCTATACTGTATGTGATCATGCATTTTCATTGAATAATGCATGACTGCTTTAAGCATGATTTTGTGCATAAGCTTTGAGTAGCTTCAACTTGCCAATCCAAGCTCTAGCTTAGAAGCTTGCCCAGGCTTGGACAAATTTCTTGTTGAGTTTATAATCGATGTCATTGAGTAAACTTGAAAGCTAAGTTTTATTCATCCATTTATACTGCTTCTTGGTTCAATACCATGTGTCTTTACAGTTATGGATTTCAGTAAATTAATCTATTCTTCTACCTTTCAAACCAGAATGTATTAATGTAAGAACAAATCACATATCCCAATATAAACTTGTGTTAGATGCTGTGATTATGGATTTTTACGAACTTTTATTTTAGCTGATTATCGTCATATTAATTGGCAATTTGTGTCAGTGTTTCTCAACAATGGGTTCGTGGACAAAATAACAGCAATGCTACTTGTTTTGTTCTAATGGATTGATCAATTTTCTCCTTTTTGCTTGCTAAAATCACTGGAAACAGTTATGCCATGTTGATCACGATTAATGCCAATACATTTTAATAAGCCGTTTTGCTTCATCACCTGCAGGCAATTGAATCTGGGAGACTGCCTGAAGATATACTTGATGAGATACCAAGCAAGTACTACAATGGATCAGTCATCTGTGAGGTTGGTTATTTTATCAGACTTGAGGCATGATATGTAATTAATGTATGTAAGGCAAAGGATTGTTGAAAAATCTTATCACAAGCCTTATACTGATTTATTTTGCTTTATGTTCTATATTCCCAGTTACAGCTAGTATATATTTTCCTATATGATAGAGATAATAAATTTTGTCTAGAAGATTGCATACCCTTTTCACAGGCCAATTTACCATAGAAGTTATGTATCTAATGGCAATTACTAAAACAACTATTCTGTAATAATTAAGTGGTCCTTATGCTACATAATGTCATTTGTTGTTCTTTTGCTCATATGACCAGTTTACATCTTAAACCATCCACCATTTGTTTCGGAAAACTCCAAACAACTTGGGGCTAGAACACAAGTAGTAATGCAGAAATTAAAACTAATTCCCACAAAACAAATCAAATCATATTCTGAAACCACATGAATCTTGTGCGCAAATGCTCAATATCTAAACTAACTGGTGCCCGGTTTCTTAAGATATGAGTGATTGTTGGTTTGCAATACTTGCTTTCTAATGTGCTCACTGACACAAAGAAGTGTTTTTCTTTCTAGATACGTGATTATCGAAAGCATGCTTCCAATCAAGCACCTGCACCATCTGCTGAGCTAGGACTACCTGTTGTGAATAAAGTGAGGCTGCAAATGACTTTTGAAAATGTTGTAAGGGACATTCCTCGGCTATCTGATGATTCCTGGAGTTACCGAGATTTCATGGTAAGTATATTGTTTCCTTTGTTTTATTCTGAAAATGGATTGACTTATGCTTGTGTTTTTCTTTTCTTTTAATATAAAATAACTATAAACCATGCATTTAATATAAAATATTTGAATCTCTGAACTGAAAACTGGGTATGTGAGCCCATGAGTTTTTTATGAAAGTTGGTACTGCCTAGTTACTTTTGTTCAAATTGATTCATCACCAACAACTTATGGCAATGGAACATGGCAAAATGGATGTAGAGTCAAGTACCCACGTAAAGTTATTCAAAAGAAGGATCTGGAATATAACTTAATCTAATCTGTTTATCTGAAACATATCTTTTATGGTGCCACGTTTATTTTTGTAGGAAGCTGAGGCACGGATTGTGAAAGTTCTACAACCAGCACTTTGTTTAGATCCTACTCCTAAGTTGGACCGACTTTGTCAGGATCCTGTTCCTCATAAGGTACAACGCTTAGAAACCAGAAATAACTGGTACTGGAGGTATAATACCTCTGTTCAAACTAAGTGTCTTACATATCTTGCAGCTGAACCTTGGTATTGGAAAAAAGAGAAGGCTAAGGCAGAATCCTGAAGTTGTTGTCACATCCAATAACATGTCTCATGGCAAAAAGGTGTGCATAGACAGGGTTTCTGAAAATATGAAATCAGATGAGATGGGTATTTCAGGTGGCAATGCTGTTCATCAAGGCCTTGATAACACTGCCATCCAAAATATGTCAGGTGGCTCTCAGACATTTAGACCAGCTAATTTTTCAATGCTGTCCCAAACCAGTATCCAGCAAACTGTCAATTATCCTGCTATTGGTAATGATCGTGGGGCAGGGACTCCTATGAACTATGCTGGAATCAATTCAAGCATTTCATCTCCACAAAACTTGATGGCTTACAATGAGACAACCAATGGCCTTTTATCTGTGAAGAGAGAAATGGCAGATGCCCCACTACAAGACCCTAAGAGAGTAAAAACAACGGTCAGTGTTGATGATATGCAGCAGCAGCAGCAAACAAGGCATCAGCCAGCTGGACTTGGTGGGCAGGAGATGCAGTGGAAGAATCAACAGCTGCAGCAATTAGATGTCAAGGGCATGCAGTATGCTGCTTCGGTTGGGCAGAGATATACTCATCCTCATGTGCAAGAACCAGCTTCCATTTATTCGAACCAGCTAGGTATGAGATATGGAGCTAAGCAAGAGCAGATGGATGGCATGGACAAGTCAAAAGACACCTTGCAAGCTATGGCACCTGAAAATTCTGTGCTGGATCAACAACAACCTCAGGCCCCACATTTGTCACAGCAAGCAGGCCCACGAAACATGCAACAGTGGCAGAATCCTCGTTTTTCAGGTGAGAAGGACTTGAAGAAAGAAGAAATGCTTCAGAGAAGGAAGATAGCTGCTACTTCTCGTGTCTCTTCTGTACCAATGGTTCAGTCTCCAGTCTCCTCAAAATCTGGGGAGATATCAAGCAGTTCAATGAGTGCCCAGTTTGGCGCTGCTGTGACATCTGCTGTAATGGGATCACAGAAAGACAAGTTCCCTGCAAATTCCAATCCTGCAGTAGTGGGCTATCCCCCTGTTGCTTCTAGCCCTAGTGATTCAATGCACCGGATGCAGCAGCCTTCAGTTGCTCCTTCAAAGAGAAAATCAAATTCTGTTCCCAAAACTCAACCGCCTGTGAGTGGTGTAGGGTCTCCAGCCAGTGTTTCAAACATGCATGCTGTACTGAATGCTAGCAGCCCATCAATTGGGACTGCACCTATGGGTGATCAAGCAATCCTTGAGAGATTTGTCAAAATTGATGCCATATCTCAAAGGTATAAAATAAAGATTTACAGCATCTGTTAACACAAGTTATTGGTTATTGTTGACCTTTTCTTTTGTTTTCGGTGTTTTATGTAGAAGTGTGCAGTCTATTTACTATTGCATAGAGCAGTTCATAGCTGAAACAGAAACTCGATTAATGATTATACAAGATCTAAAATCCTTTTATGTCCTTGCCGTTGAATTGTTATAATTTCTTTTGGTTATAGCATCATTTTACATTGCAGCTAAAGTTCATGATTGTCATGTTTTTCTCAGGTGCAAGCTGCACAGCAAGAAGAACAAAGTTGACAATATACCTCAGAGAAAACCGATTATCAATGCAAGCCAAGAGAAAGTTGCTACAGTTCTCTCCAATTGCTTTCATGCTGAAGATTTTAGAGATGAAATAAAACCTCTTTGTAACTCTATGTTGGGTGGAACAATGAATTCCTTTAAGACTAGAATACTAAACTTTGTGGTCAACAACCGCATGTACCAAGGTATGTTTTACTACAATAATATACAAAAAGTGTTACCGAAAAAGTGACGTGTTATATACCTCTAATTTGTCTGATCTGTACTGCAGGCCCTACAAAGCCATTCCGTATCATTTTCAAGGAGAAGCATGATGGAACAGTGGCGATGCAATATGGAGATCCAGAAGATTTTGACAATCAGAACTCATATGAGTGTACACTGATATTGCCCACCAAGGTATGCATCAATACAAGAACTGAACATTGTACCATACAGTTTTTTTTTCTATGCTATTTTTCTGTACCTAACTTTATGATTGCTTGTTTTGTCAGTACCACGCTGATCTGCTTGCGAAGCAACTTATTATCCGGGTAAGTTACAGATCCCTAACTATCTGATAAAAATAAATAACTAAGGCAACGGTCTGAATTTTTCAATCTTTTTAAACCCTTGACCCTAGATGGACCGAGAAGGCCATACCAAGGCAGACGATCAAGTTGCGCTTAGCACCCCTCCTGGTAACCTCAGTGCATTATCAGGAATTTTACCAGACAACACGGTAAATGATGTGAAACAAGAAGGTGGTATTAGCCATCAGCTAAATGCTGCAGCTCATGCAAATATGACACCTGGAACCCCTTTACAACAACACCCTGCCAATAGGATGCTTCCATCTGTGAATAACCAAGCGTTAATGCAGCAAGGATACATGCAGGGGGCAAACATGCCTCCGAGGAGTCAACAGCTTGACCAGAATTTGATTCAGCAGCAGCAACAGCAGCCGCCGCAGCTGCAGCAAAATGCACAAGCACAACTGCAGCAACCAGCATCTCTTCCTCTCAACCAGATGCAGAGACCTCAACTTCTACCAACGAACCCATTATCTCAGATGCTGGGGAATACTGGCTCCAATCTTCCGATGGCCTCAAGCCACATGGGTAACAAGGTCGCTCCTAATTCTGTGCAGCTTCAGATGATGCAGCAGCAGCAACAGTCGAGGAAAATGATGATGGGCCTCGGCTCGCCTGCCAACATGGGTAATATGGTTAACAATGTTGTTGGCCTCAACAATATTGGAAATGTTATGGGAATGGGCAATGTGCGGCCAATGTCGTCCCCAATGGGAAACATGTCAGGCTTAGGGAACAACCCCAATCAGATGAGCCTTGGAATGGTATCCAGTCTCTCTGCACCTGGGATTCGTCCAGGTATGACACATGCTGCTATTGCCAAGATGCGAATGGGGTTGATACAGCAGCAAAGAGCAGCAGGCATTTACCCCCAGACTAGCATGGTCGGAATGCCTGGGAGCAGTTCTCCGATTCTTCCTGGTTCTGCCAATTTGTCCATGATGAATCAGCTAAACAGAAGCAACATTAACCCTTTGCAGCGGGCCATGATGGGTCCACCAAAGATGCCAGGCAGTAATTACCCGTTGACTCCGCAACAGCAAATGCAACTCCAGCAACAGTTCCAACAGAACCCGCTGCAGCAGCAGCAACTGCAGCAACTCCAACAACAGCAGCAGCAACAACAACAACAGCAAATCCAGCAGCAGCAGCAGCAGCAACAGCAACAGCAGCAGCAGCAGCAGCAAATTCAGCAGCAGCAACAACAAATGGGCTCTCCGTTACAGCAGGCGGCACAGGTGGGCTCACCTGCTGGTTCGCAGCAGTCATTGGTGATGTCGCAGCATCAGCAAATAAGCCCACAGCAAATGGCCGCGATGAGTCCACAGCTGAGCTCAGGCACCATGCAGCAAGTGAATAACAATGTTATCAACCACGTAGCCACACCAGGCCCTCCTCCTAGCCCGCAGCTCAGCTCACAGACCCATGGGTCGGTCAACAGCATCGCAAACTCCCCAATGGAGCAGTTGCAAGGTGCCAATAAAGGAGGTCCAGGGAGCATGTAGTGACGGCAAATAATTGTTTCTGTGATGGACATACAAAATAATGCAAGGTATAAATATCGGCAGTGATCAGCACTTTTTCTTATTTGTTGTGGTAAATGATGTTAAAGTTAGGTGTCCTGTAAGTTATAGCCAATAGATGAAGATATTATGGAGGATCAGCCTTACGCAGGGATTTCTGATGTTGTAGATTTTAGATAATGAAATTAGTACCTTTAGGGGATTGGTACTGATGAAAGTTTTGTTCAATGGGACTACTTTCTTGTTTAAATTAATTATCAAGTTTGTGTAATAGCTATGTAACCGTGGTGCTTATTAATAAGTATCTTCATTTGATTGTGGAAATTTTGCCCTGCTTTTCTTGTAATAATCTGGTATAACACTGCGATTTTGTTGAGCTGTCTACATATTCTGTATTGGTATTACCACAGTTTTTGGTGGAAGAATAGACGGCTTGTTCATAGCAGTTCATGTGATGCCATAGAAGTATGTGTAATGTCATAGAAGTGTGCTGTGCTGTTCATGCAACATAGAATGCCCAAAAATGACAGTGTATCAATTATTTCCCAGGTGATGTTGGAAGCCTGAATTATGACATTTGAGTGTGAACATTAATGCTATTTCTTCTACATATTACATTCATGCTTTTACAATTATTGTGCATGTATGCATTAGACAAGATGTAATCCATAAATCCAAAAGTATTGGGATTCACAAAGCAGCTTCATTTGGAACTTGGAAGAAGATATTGCGTTCCGGAATAGTGAAGCCTTGGTCAGCACACCCGGAGAAAATTTAATGGAGTCAAAATAAGTGGATTACATATGAAGCAATTCATAGTGCATAACTCTTCTAGCTAAATTTACCCCTTCTTTTTCATGATTTGATCGTATAAATAAAATACAGTCCAAGACATACTCACATGGAGTTTTTGGAGCAGGGCATTATCACTTATATACTTTCATGAGATTTCTTATTCTACTATAAGTGAATGAAGCGATTACTTAAAATTAAATACTATTGGAGGACTGCAGGAGCTTATTCTAGATAAAATTCATGATTGTTTAATTCATCTATAATGGTAACTGCAGCTTGTCTTTGCTGATAACGATCTGTGATGCCATAAGAAAGCAGGCAGATTGGCAAATACGCACACATCAGGTTCTAGAGCTTTATCACATTTCAGTTCTTTATGAAATAAAAGTTCATTTTTGCAAACGATTTCCATTTTCAAACGAGCGTCCCATTCGATTTCCATGGAATCAAAATCATATATACGGACCAGATGCTCATAGTTGATTAAGAAAATAACTCCTATAAGGAGAGAGGAAACATATTCCCAAGACCTTTGATGAATTCAATCATTGTTGCGTCTGACCACTCTGATTTCCAATTCCCAATAATGGGATGTATGACAACTTTGCATGAAAGAGCCGAGTTAGGATCACCATGTTGAGCAAAATGTATCCATTTTAAAAACAAAATAGCACAAATCAATAAGATAGGCCATCTCACTAAGGAACCAAACTTGCATGTTCAAAGCTCTTACTTGAGGGAAGGGACGAAGGGTATCCCTTCAACATATGTCTAAGATGATTCTAAATAGGTGATGGACTTTCACTTGAAAGGGCAATCTTGGCTGTTTACCCTGTCCTTACTTATTGGGTTGTCAATCTTACGACTTGGTCCGAACAATCTTCATAAGCACTACAAGTTTCATTTTCAAAAAGAAAAGAATCAGAGGATTCTAACATATAAGAGCTCTTCTTTTCATGTTTAGTTAGAACAAGAGAATTGTCATAAAAATCAGGTAAGTTGCAGCAAGTTTTGCTAGGAAAATTCATCAATCTAATGCAGTTAACCAAAGCTCTATCCTCTACGTAGCTATTAAAATTTAGACAACATAATTAGTAGGACGGTTCAAAGTGTCATGTCAATATATATATATAACTGTTCTATCACATTGGTTTGTCTGAATTTTAGACAACTCCATGTCAAAATACAGCTTGCTTGCAATTGTATGCTTAGAATAAGGGCAACTCTGCAGCAAAGGGCTGTGCCTTTCATGATATTTGGAATGTTTTCCCTTAAGCTAGTTGAAGAGGTTCAGTTCTCAACTCCATGTCAAAATACAGCTTGCTTGCAATTGTATGCTTAGAATAAGGGCAGCTCTGCTTCCGTTCTCATTTTCCTGGTAAACATTTTCAATCCTCTACCATCCCATACAAGGGTCAAATACTCTAAAGCTCCTGCTTTTGGTAAAATAGAACTCACAATAACACTTCATAATGAATATGCCGAGCAAATTTATTTTTGGAGTACATAAAGACACAAGGTAGACAGTAGCAAATATAAAAAAAGTGCTATATCCTATAGCTTTTTATATCGGCAGATCACCACAGGTACACGGAAAACTCCATTTTATTGTAAGTCCAGGTCTACTACACATGTAAATGATGTTTGGAAGCTGTATGCAAACAAACCTAGTAATTATCAGACAAAATGTCCAAAGGCCAGCAAATACCATCAGAAGGAGCACCATGACAGCATTTGGCAAGCCACCTAGGAAATGATGAGTGTCAGTACTACGATTGGTTCTATATAGAAGGACAAACTCAATCTTGGTCGAATGCTCAAAATGACAGATGACGTACCTTCAAAGTTATATCATTCTGTAGGCCGACACCATTATTATGTTACATCTGGAAGAATGGATGAACAACAAGATTTTCTTTGAGCCTATGCAAGCAATTCATTGGCAGCTGACCATCAAACTGGAAAGAAGCCAACACATTGCCCTTCCTATCACAGTGTAAAATCCGATTCGAGCATCTGACCAGCACATCCCCCTCCACAGAAACAACCATCGCAGACCAGCCAAGATGCTCAAGATTACACTCCGGGAACTGCCTAATCTGCGCCATCGGCAATTCGATGCGGTGCTTGCATGCCCAAGTGCTCCTCTCATAGTCCTGCAGCACCCAAAGATCGATCCTCGTCGTACATTCAACCGCGGAGAAGACAAGGGTGCTATCCATCTCCAACAAAGACACCCAACCAGGTATCGCCGGGTGGCGCATCCACTGGAATGACTCGCTCGCTGTATCGAACACCATTATCTTGCAGCCTCCATCTCTGTGCCTCAGATACCAGTGCAGGTTGCCGCGCACCAGCACGGACCGATCGCCACGGGCATGCATCAGAAATTCCCTTGCCAATGGCTGCTCCACAGTCTCTGATCCCATTGTCATTGTGATGCACCTTGGTTCATCGGAGCCCAATGTGAGGATGTGGTAGACACACTCTTCTTCTCCATGGAATTCACCATACAGCACCCGGTACTCACCGGAGGGGTTGTGCGGGTAAAGCCCCAAGAAATCGGCATCGACGAGCTGCGGGATTTCGGCCCAGTGATTGGTGGCCGGGTTGCAGATGTAGAAGCGGCCGGAGGAGAGGAGCAGGAGGCCGTCGCAGGAGGCGATGACGGTGTAGCCGAGTGGCGGCCAGGTGTGGTCGACGACGGGGCGGAGCTGCGCGGCATGGAGGTCGATGGCGCCGACGCGGTCGCTGCCGCCGCGGCGGAAGTAGATGAGGGGGAGGTCCCGCTGGCGGTGGTGGTGGGCGCGGAGGAAGGCCGGGTCGGAGGTGAGGCGGCGCCAGGCGGTGCACACGGCGCGGCAGCGGAGGACGGACCTCGCCGGGAGGCGCACGAGGATCTCGCACAGGACCATCTCGTCGTCGAGGCCGCCGGTGAATCCCCGCGGCGTCCTCCTCACGTCCTCCTCCACCGACTCAGCCGGCGCGGAGTCGACCCTCTCCTCGCCCGCCTCCGCCACCCGCGACGCCCGCGCGAGCAATCCGTCGAACACCTTGAACCTCCTCTCCACCTCCATCACTATCTCCGCCTCCTTCCTCCGCCGCAGCAAGCCGATCGCCGGAAGAACGGCGTTCGCCCGCGCCTCCCTCAGCAAGTCGAGGAGCTCCCCGGATACGCCGCCCTCCGCCGCCGCGGCCTCCGCCCGGGCGAGGCGCGCGGCGGCGCCCTCGGCCTCCGCCTCTGAGGCCAGCACCGCCGCCGCCGCCGCCTCCACCTCCTCGGCGCTCGGCCTCCGCGGCAGCTCCCGGTACAGCCTCGTCAGCTCCTCCACCGCCGCCGCCGCCGGCGAGCTCCCCATCGCCGCGGAACGGAGGGAGTGAAGTATAATAAATAAATAAATAAATTTATAAAATAGTCGATGCGAAGTAGAAATGGTAAACGTTGGAGACTGATAAAGTGATAATTAATAATCAGATGAGATCCCGTCTTTTTCAGCCGTCCGATCTGGGATCAACGGTCGAGATTGGTGTTTCACATGAAAACATCGAATTCGCCTCATCATCTTATATTTTCTATTTGATCAAGATTGACAATTCGTGATCTAATAGTTGATATGAAATATTTTAAGTTTTTTTATGTGAGCTTTTCCTTCACGGCTGCCTAAGTGCAGATTAACATGTACACATGGGATTATGAGATGGTTAAAAGCAGTGGCGGATTTAGGATATTTCTGTGGGGTTAGCTGATCCCACAGCTTTTTAAAAAACACCCTATAAACCTTAATTTTTATGTATAAATTCAAAAAAATTAGAGAAATGACCCCACTTAAATATAAACCACTAGTAATTGATCCCACAGGTATTAAATCCTGGCTCCGCCACTGGTTAAAAGGTTGATTTCTGAAGAAACGAACCATTCTAGAAAATTGAGACCTAAGTCGATGAAGACAGCCAAAAGTTTCCCTTAACAAACACAGCGTTTATTAAAAAGGTTGTTCTCGTTCCAAATACTGCACTGCATAAAAGTGTTCGATCTCAGAATCCATTCATAAACCATGGCCAAGAAAGCAAGAAACCTTGCCTGGTATTCATGCTTCGGTATGCAAATTTGCAAATCATCACATGATTGTGCAAATAAATCAGCTGGATAGCTTATACAAGAGCGTGAGAAACCAAAAAAACGTGTAGCTTTCTGAAGCTTTACTTGCTACCTCAGGTTGACTCGCTTGTCCAACCAGATTACTCACCCAAAAGACATAGTTTTTCCCCTCTCAATTGTCAAGCATCGCATCAAAGTATTGCACTTAAGTTTACTACCTCAAATCATGCATAAATTTGCAGTTTTCCCCATACGGGCACCATCCCTGTTGTTGATAAATGAAGCATGGCTTCCATGGTCGAAACCTCTGGGGATTCTGGTTATGATTCTGCCTGTCATGGTACTGGTTTCCGTTCATTCCCTGGCGACCATGGTAATTCTGATGATGGTTCTGTTGGTGATGATACTGATCTTGAGACATTTGCCTGTGACCATAATAATTCTGATGATGGTTCTGTTGGTGATGATAACTCTGGTCCTCCCAATGGTAATCCTGGTTTCTTGACCTGAGAGGTTGATGCGTTTCGCGATCGACACGAGCCTGGTGATGACCAGAGCCATTGGAACCATGTTGGTATGTCTTTGCCTTCTGAGTGAAAGGCTGGAAGGCTGGTTTATCATGGTCTGTAGAGCCCCAATTGTTACTCTGACGATCCATGAAGCCTGTTCTTGAAGTACTTGTCCCGCCCTGCTGCCAAAACGCTTCATTCCTGTATTGATGATTAGGAGGTTGCTGCTGTGTGTAAGAGACTGCTTGCTGTGGAGTAGGAGTAGGAGTAGGTCTTGAAGATATCTCCTGCCGCCTCATGTTCTCTGATCCTCCATGTTGTCTGGATGGAGGAGCCTGGTGATTGGTAAAATCTTGTCTGGCAGCTGATGTTTGGGATACTGCAGCCCTTTGCTCTTGCGAAGGAGGAACCCGCGGAAGCGCTTGATTGTGGTGTTGATGTTTGGGATACTGCTGTGGGTATGCAGAACTTTGCTGTATAGGAGCAGGCTTGATTGATTTTGGCGGCTGCTGCTGCTGCTGCTGCTGTGTTGTTTCCACTTTTACGGCATGTTGGAGGGAAGGAGCCTGATGGTTAATGAGCTGCGTTGTGCTAGTTCTTGATGTTCCCTTTTGGAGAAGCACTTCGTTGTGTTGTTGAGGATGAGGGAACTGTGGCAGGTAATGGAGCAATTGCTCTGTGGGAGTTTGCTTTGATGATAAATGTTGCTGACTTGAGTTCCCAGATTCACCATGTTGGAGTGAAGGAATTATCTTCTCAGCTCTAGTACATGAAAGACACGCATTAGAGAAATGACAGCATAATTTTAGATGTAAAATAACAGAGAATTCCCTGCATGCATTTTCTTTCCTATGTAAATCTCATATTTAGATGGCAATGCACAACAGTAATCCTGACAAAAAATATACTACAATGAAGCAAAATCACACTTTTTCTAACATGAGAAAGTGATAGCATTCAGAAGTACCTTTTCTGAACAGTATTCGTAGTCACCGTATGTTGCGGAAAAACCGCTTGAGATGATTTTTTATTCATGTTGTCCTGTCCTTTGCTCTTGTTTTCCTTGTTCCTATTAATCATAACAACATTTTGAGAAGTCAAAAGTTTTCTTTTACAATGATATGAACTCTGATCACAAATTTAAGATGTAGTAGATAATTAAATAATGCTACTGACGAGAGGAAAAAATCATAGCATGTGCTACCATTCTGATTTAGTTAAGTTTCAGAGAAAGTGCTGTAGAAAATTAGGACACATGGCTGGGATCTCCAAAAAAAAGCAGTTAGATTTCTTGATCAGTCATATGTTTGATATATCCTAGCACCATGACCAACACATTGTAACTAGAAATCTAGAATCAGCTCAAACTTTCTAATTAGTCTACTGTCTACTTGCATCTTCCCAATCAGAATCTATTTCCAATGTTTAAACAATGGACTGGATGTAAACTTCATAAGCAGGATGAGATGATCTCAAAGTAGCAAATTTTCATGCTGGTTCTGAACAGAATATTTTCTCTCTTTTGGCCCTTAAATGATATGACCTGTTACCATAGTTTTTTGAACAGAAGAATTCATTGAGATGCATACACACCATGACAAAGGTTTATATTATAATCATCACTAACGCATGTCACAGTTAATAGGCTTACCTATTTAATCTCCTCATCCGTTCATTCTCTTTGTCCTTAATCCTGACTTCCCTTGTCTTACGTGCCACATACCCTCTTGCATGTTTTTCTTGGAGGGCTCTGTTTCTTTCCTCTTCATCAAGCCATGGCTGTGAGTGTAACAGAAATTAGCTTCAATAATTAAGTCCTGCTTTCCCTAAGACAAAATGAACCTTTAAGAACACACCTGTCTCATGGTCTTATCCTTGTAGAGATTTCTACCCTTTATGAGGAGTGGATGGAGGGGAGGCCATGGTTTGTACCCCCTACTCCATAAAATCTCAATCTGCATTTGCATATTTCTCTGTTGGTTTTAAGCGGTCTATGATGATTATTGTAGCTTAAGGCAAAAACTTATGCTGGTAAAAAGAAGTAAGAATTTACAGTGAACGTGTGCTGTTGCTTCTTAGTGCCATAGCTTTCTTTGATTATTCGACCTGCATTTGTCCTTTGACCACATAAATGACCCTTGACACCACGAGGAGCTCCTTTTTTCCTGCAGTGATAATCAACAGCCAAAGTAAAAAGGACATTATATATAAATATTGTGATTGGAGAATCATGCCCATCACTTCAGTAAATTAACACTCTGCCTAATATCCATTACCTTTTGTAAATATTTTGCTCAAAGACCACAACATCACCTTTGCATGAATCACCTATGATATTTAAGGGGTGCATAAGAAGGCAAAAAGTTAGAGCTTAAACAGTCCAAACTGTAGAAAGAAAAAAAAGGTATTGCAAATGAAAATGCCATTAAATTATGTATTCGAGAACTACAACTCTACCAGAAGACCAGAACTATACTTCAACGTGGGCGGTGTTATTTCAGACAACCTTAAGTGCATGAACTACGGACTATCCATTAACTGAAACAAGTTTAGAAAGCTTTCTAATTTTCTTGTCATTCATATCACTGTGAAACTATAGCATGAATGTTAGACTGATCACCTTGACAGTTCAAAACAAAACTTGACACTGGATACTTCACCTCTCCCATAGTTTTCACCCTGGTTTTGAAGCACAAGAAAGTGGTCAAACAAAAGCAGTTCATTTGCATTACAAAATATCAACAAAGTTGACAAGTAACATATAAAGAAGAAGGACAGATTACATAAAGGATATAGTTCATACTCAATTTGTCCTCTGATGCGAGTTAGGAGCACTTCCTTGTTGCCTGACAATCTTAGCTTGTGCATCCTCAAATATGCTTTGCATTCATAAACCTTTAGTTTCTCCAACTGGCCATCTGTGAATTGCAATAGCACATCACTCATATGATCAACAATAAGAATATGTGATGACCAGTAACAACATGGAAATTTACTATTTCGATAATGTACCCCATGAAACTGTAGCAATGCTAAGATACAGTTTCTGCAAACAATTTGTCTGCTTCGGCTTAAAATTACATTAAGAAATGAAGGTTTACCTGAAAGAGCTAAAACATGACGATTCTAAAATTGTACTACTGATCAAATTTCTTTGGAAGTAGTAGAAAGAATGAAACCAGTCGTGCACAACATACATTGTATCACATTACCCAGTTATCTCAAATTGCGTTACAAAACAAAACATTTTTTTTTTACTTTTGCTAAGTCGTTTTTTTTCCTCTCATGTCACACTCTTCACAAGATCACACTAGCAGGCAAAATTTCAGGCCCTCCCGGTTACCAGTTTGCATCACATTGTTGGAGATATCACAGTCACACAATGGCAATCGAAGAAAGAACTGACCATGCATCAGCTTGTCCACCATGGCTAGAAGATCCATCTCCTCCTTCCCCATCTTCGGCATCCGCGATCCTTTCCTGAAAATTGCGAAACTCGTACAAAAACCAAAACCTAAATCAACCCCTTTCGGGAAAAAAAAAAGCGAGATTCACGGAGGCGAAGAACCAACCCAAATTCGCAAACCAAATCCCGATTCCCAATTTGTGATCGCAGAAATTGGACAAAGCCCCCCAAGATCATTCATCAGTGTGGAAGGGGGGGGAAGAGAGGGGAGGTGGGCGCCCGAACCGAACCTGTCCTTGCGCGCGGAGGAGAGTGACATCCGGGCCATCCTGGACCGCAGCACGGCGTCCACCTCGAGGTCACCGTCGGCGGCGGGGTCGAAGGTGGGGTCGTCGTAGGAGCCCGCGTCGGGGTCGCAGATGCCGGCGAGGCTCGCGGCCTCGGGGTCGTCCTCCTCCGACCAGTCATATCCTTCCCCCTCCTCCTCCTCCTCGTCGTCGCTCTCCACCTCCTCCTCCGATCCCTCCTCCTCCTCCCCGTCGTCCTCCTCACGGGGCAGGGCGGCGCGGTGGTCGTCGTCGTCGGCGGCGGGGGCGGCCATGGATGGCGTGGCGGGTTCGGGGGTTCCTCCTCGGGTCGTCGACCGTTGGTCGCGGGATTCTTGGGATTGGTTTGAAGTTTTGAAAATTTGGTAGATTTTTGGCGTGTTGCGTGGTTGGGGATTTTTATAGGCGTCAGTCTGCTCTTTGCTGGGTCAGCTGAGAAGCGAGCCAAGCAGGGCTGCAGTGGCAGCTGCCCAGCACTACAAACAATTTTTTAGAGGTGATTTCACCATGGATGGATTACATATATTTTTTAGAGGTGATTTCACCAGTCAAAGATTTTCATTTACAACCATATATCTTTACCAACCGTCCCATAAAAAATAAATCTAGTATTGAATATGACATATCCTAGTATAACGAATCTAGACATATGTCATATACAGTCCTAGATTTATTTTTTTTAGACGGAGGGATAGTATCATATGCTAGACAAATGACCCGTCTTCATAGGAGAGAGAATATGCCATGGTCCTTTGTTAGAGTAACAGCAAGATGATTCGGGTAGATTTAAGGAGAGGAGTTGCAGTGGTTATTTTACTATAAGAAGGGCACGCTATAACACATCCATCAATTCACAGCATTGTGAGCAACTTTTAGCAAAGTACATTAACAAAACAAGAAGGATTTGTTCAGTTAATCATGAGAAGAGATCTGATAGGATTGGTTGCAATTTCACCTCTAACCCCGCCCCTCAATCTATTTGGTGGAGATACGAACCGAATAAGACCTAAGAGGTAATTAACCCTCTTCTCCTCCTAAACTAGCATGCATGACCTTGCTAGAGCCACAACTCATGCTATCATTTTGGTTGCACGGAAGCAGGCGACGAGAGTGAGCTACTCCCTCCGCTTCTATAATAATTGATGGATTAAGGTCAAACTTTCATAACTTTAACTATCAATAACTTTAAAAATATTTAGTTTAAAGGAACTATAACAACATATATATATATTTGTCTTTCAAAACACTATAATAAAATTAAACATACATTTATTTATTGTATATATTATAATAGAAAAATAAGGTCAAAGATATATTTTGTAGACCGTGTCATTATCCAAAACGTCAATTAAAATAAAACCAGAGGGAGTTGAGAGGAGGGCTCAGTCTGCATGCTGCTACTTGTTTTCCCTCATTGTTTAGGGAGCGCTGCAAGGAGATCAAGACTGAGTAGGCGATGTTGTGCTCGAGAAGATCACCGATGAGGGGAAGGCTGACCATCCGGTTGGCCAGTCTATTGGAGGGCAAATTTGAGCCAAAATTGCTATAATTTAACGGAAAATGCAACACATACGATTTTTTTTGTATGATCTTGTTACGATAAAACACAACGGCATGGACGGCAGGGGAACCTAACGTGAGCGCACGGCGCACGCGGCAGTCTAAGCGTAATTATGGACCCTAAAGGCCAGTTCACCTCTAAATCTGACTTTACGTTCACTACTCCAAACTCTAAACCTGACTTCATGTTTTGATCTAATCTGCAAGTGTGAAACTAATCCAATAGCATACGCCATCGACAACGAAGGTATGCCATCTTATTTACTTGATTTCCTTTAGCTTCACAATCATCTTTTTTTACATTATTCTCCCTCTTTTTTTTTGTTCCTGGGCAATGTTCATAGCCATGAAATGCTTTCTTTATTATTATGGATTTAATCTAAAATTTTCCTTTGCAAAACATATGCCATTATTTTTAATTTAATATGAAACTAGGGTTGACACTATCACTGTCCAAGGTGCAAGGAACATATTTGTACGTGTAATTTGCTTAACCCTGCCACATAATAAATTCAATATTGAGTGCTACAATTACTATACAATAAGATATTAGGAAGAATATTGCTTAAGATATGATTGAAAAGAAAATTGCTTTGGTTGGCTATCCAAGCAAGCCAATGAGATAGCAGGCCAAGACGTCGGGAGCTTGGGCTTGGATATAGGATCAACTGACGGAGAATTTTTTTCATTTTTAAATTTTTATTTTTTTAATATTTTGTACCGGCGAAAATATTTATAGAAGTAGACCCTGCCGCTTTTGGAAAGGGCGGCAGGGTGACGTGAGGGACAGGCAAGATAAAAAAGAAACTAGAAAAATGCATTTTTGGTGGGGCAATAATTGCATTTGCCCCCTTGCAGCCCTTGTAGAGGGCGGCAAGGGATCTCAGTGCAAAATGCGCACACCTTGTCGCCCTCCACTTGGGCGGCAGAGGCCATTTCTATAAATATTTTGGATGGCATCATATTTCTGTAAATATTAAAAAATTAAAATTTAAAAATGAAAAAAATTCAACAGACGGATCCGTTTGATCGTACAACCATTGTAAAAAATAATTCGTATGTATAGCAGCGCTGTAATTTAACTTGGAGAGTGGAATAAGTAGGTTGTTGGAGATACTCTTAGCCTGTGTTCTTTTCTATGGGTTGGGAACCCATCTCCGGCACACGGAAAACAGAGCGGTCCATTAGCACGTGATTAATTAAGTACTCCCTCCGTCCCAGAATATAAGCATTTTTAGAGTTGGACACGATTATTAAGAAAGTAGGTAGAAGTGAATGATGGAGGGTTGTGATTGGTTAAGTAGTGGTGGTAGGTGTGAAAAGTGAATGGTGGAGAGTTGTGATTGGTTGGGAAGAGAATGTTGGTGGAGAAATTGTTATATTTGGGATAAATCTTGAGGGCTAAAAGTTGTTATATTTTAGGACGGAGAGAGTATTAGCTTTTTTTAAAAAAAAAATGGATCAATATGACTTTTTTAAACAACTTTCGTATAAAAACTTTTTACAAAAAACATACAGTTTCGCAGTTTAAAAAGCGTGCGCGCGGAACACGAGGGAGATGGGTTGGGAGCACTGAAGCAAAGACACACAGAAGTTCCTACTAAAGAGAATTGAGGCTAGTGGTGTATTGTCGTGGGGCGCAAATTATACTTTTGATTCTCTTCTCTGCTTCAACGGCGTTATACTAGTAAAATCTAGAGCCCATTAGCGTGCTAGGAGCGGGAGGGATCTCCATACCTGACGACGGCGCATATATAGACGCAATTGCCTTATATTAGCCAGGTGAACTAGAATTATAAAATTATATTCACTCAATTTTGCTTAGGATTCACTAGGGGAAAAAAATTCTCTCATTCCAAACAGAATCTATATGCATGCGCGCGCGCTCTCTCTCTCTCTTCCTTCTTTTTGTTTTTGGTAGAGAGCATCAGGCATAGTAACGTTCTTCCATGCCTTGGACACATTCTTATTTGACATGAATCTCAGTTTCTCTGTCTCTCGCCCAACTCGCAACTTCTCTTGCAGTAAAGCTAATCTGTACAAAGATTTAAAGGCTAACATTGTAGCGAGCTGTGTCGTGCCAACCCACGTGCCGAATCCACGGCCTAGAAGGTGTGATGTCTCGTGCTAGCAATGAAAAGGGCTATGAAAAAAATCTAAATATAGCAAAACTGCTAGAGGAGTCGTGTCCGTCCAAGCCCACAAGGCCACAACAAGCTTTGGCGTCGGCCAAGGCACAGCCCAGAACATCACGTTCCCATGCAGTGACGGAATAAGTTCACTTTAGAGGGAAGAGGATAGAAGGAAGAGGGGAGTAGTGAGGATGACATGTGGGGCCCCACTATTTTTTTATTATTTGAGTGTGTAACTGACATGTGGGTTCTACAAGTTTTATTATTTTTTTCGAATCGAATTACCGCGTAAGCGCCACGTCAATATCACATGGGATGAAAACCTAGTCAAAGAAGTGCCATGTAGGCGCCACGTCAGCCAAAACCATGGGCAATACTGCCGAGGAACCTCGTTTGCATGGTTTTGTAAGTTGGGGATGCGTTGTATTCTGTTTTGTGGTGCAGGGACGAATTTCGAACTCAGTGACAAATTGAAGGACCTAAAGTGAACTTATTCCTTATGTTATCCCACAGCAAAGCCCTGCTGCCGAAACCTGTTTGCATATGCCCGACACCAACTTGAAGGGGCTAAGGTTAGGGCCAGCAGAGACAGGACAGGAGGCCCAACCACCTACGTTGCCCCAGTGAACTTGTGTGTGTTCATGGCCAGCCGTAGGCTGAGAAGTGGGGGTATCAAAGCTAAAAAAAAGCTAGTGAACGCTCGCGTGCACAAACGTGCCATTTTTTTAAGGTAGTGTTTTTTTTTCTAATGACGATGAAGATAAGTTTTATAGCACGCAAAAGAAAGAAAGCTAGCGCATGATTAATTAAGCTCTAATTATTAAAATTTTAAAAATAGATTTATTTGATATTCTAAAGCAAGTTCTTGTATAGAATGTTTTCGTATGAAACACATCGTTTAGCATTTTGAAAAACGTGCTAATAAAAATTGAGGTAAAATATTAATCGTAGTAAAACACCACCTGCTGGGCGCCCTTGTCCACCACGGCCACCGGACCGCCACCCTTATTCTGCCCAGCCGATGCCGACAACCCGCATCCGCCAAATTGATCGTCATCCTATCGTGTCAGTCCAATCGCCGTCCTCCCATGTCTGTCCAACCGTTATCCTTCCGTGTTCGTCCAACCGTCAATCTCATAGCTAAAAATACTTATATTTTGGAACGGAGGTAGTACTTCATAGTAATTGTGAAGTTTATACAGCGAAAACATCAAATTAAAGTTTGTACAACAAAAATGTATGTATACACCGTTCCATTTATACATAAAGGTTATGCATAGAAAATTTTGTTTAAATGCGAACACGTGTTTGACGCGGCTCGACGGAAAACAAACGTTCGCCCAATAGCCTCACCCGAACTAAACACATTGCACTCTATATAGCACTCTGTATACGGATTCAACCAGAACATACAATTAAATGCATTGGGTTTTGACTAGTACCTCTCCAGTGGTTTTGTCAAAAAGTTATGATAACCAAAGTGGGTATTGACGTGGATCCATAGAATCCATATGTACAACATTTGAAAAGTCTAATTTTTGTAAAGCTTTTAATTTTAGCCTATCCGATTAAGGCCGACAATCATATCAAGCCGTTCCCGTCATATATATTTTCAAAATCATACTGATCTATAGAACGTACCTCCAGCTTGCTAGCATCCCAATGGCACGAGAGAGAGAAGGTATGTGCTAGCTAGCCGGGCCGACGCCCGATTAAGGGTTCTTTTATTTTGTGTTAGTATCTATTAGTTTGTGTTTTTTTTACATTATTATATGCCAGTGTGTGCTGAGTTTGTTTACGTGTGGATTTTATAATAATTGGTTGTAACTCGTTGAGCAAACGCCAAAATATTATTTATTATCTAAAAAAAATCTCTACTCCAATTCAAATTGATTCACAAGAAAAAAACCTGATCTCTCCGGGAGATAATATTCCATAACAAAAGAAACCCGGGACGGAGCAAAGCAACGGGCAACGGCACGCATGTTTTCCGCTGGGGTTGTTTCGCTTGGACGGACGACCGATCGACAGTCCAAGCACGTCACGTTGTGGGAGAGCACACAAAAAGCGAGGCTGCTAGCTAGCTAAACCCGCACACCCACAGGCAGCGGCAGCTCATGCTGAAACCAAATCAAACACACGCCAAAATTCCTTTTCGCCACGAAAACGTTATCGCAAATAATCCAAGTGGAAGGTATATATCCATGCATGTTGCTGGTTTTTTCCCCGAAGTTTCTTTATTTCTAGACAAAATTACATAAACCACCCTAATTATGTATCCTTTTTCTTTTGAGATTTTAATCCATAATTAACTTATTTTGTTCAAAAAAACCTATCCACCCAAATATTGTCGGTCCGAAATTACCCCCTCTGCAGAATTCAACCAATTTCTTTCGGTATGGATTTGCAACGGAGCATATCAGCTAGGTCGGATGACAGTTTTGTTTGCTGTGAGCTAGAAGCAATACTCCATTATTCTTTGGCTGAGAACGACCATGAGTCCGACTAATCATATAGTCATACTGGACAAGTTTTGGCTGATATGGCCAGGCACAGAATCAAGTAAAAAAAGAAAACCAAATCAACTACTCATGTGTACAAACAGGGGGGAAGAAGTGGAGAACTTCTTGGTTGAGTGGGTTTTTACAATAAAATTGATTATGAAAGTGGGATCTCAAAACAAATATGATAAATGAGGTGATTCTGTAATTCTGTCTTATTTTTCTAACTGGTCATCATGACGGTGCAATGTGAACCGCTCTTTTTATCTTTTTCCGCGTTTTTTCTTCATATGAACACAGAACGGCATGATGATAGCTACTACCGTTTTTGTCGATACGTCTGAGGAAGGAAAGAGATCAGGCGCGATCGACCAGAGGGAAAAAGGAGTGTGGCCACATATGAGCTGCAACTGCTAGCCGGCAACGAGCCAGGCAGCGTACGATCGCTTGGGATATCGCCGTGAACGCAAACCCGATCGGGGGCACACGGCGCGTGCAGTGTATATCGCTCGAAAAGTCGAAGCAGGGCGAGCAGGTCGGCGTGGCGGCCAAAAGCGGACGCGATATGCTCTCGTCCTTAGCTGGAGGCCTTCGTTGCTTAATTCGCCAAAATTCCCAACCGAAATGTCGGTCTCAATAAGGATCTGGGGAATCAAAGAGGCCGGAGAGAGGCGTGTCGTGTTGTGCGAGGAGATCAGGATGGCAGGGTTTACACATTTTCGAAACGAAGCTCGGAGAGAAAAGAATTAGTATATTCTATTTTGAGCATAACAAAAGTTTATGAATTCGAATCCAGCTTAAAACACTTGACAATTTAATTTTGTCCTAAACCAACCAATCCTGACTTTAACCATCAATGTTTTTTTAAAATCTATGTAGTTTAACATGCCAATTTTATGTTACGAAAGTATCTCTCACTATGCATCTCACAACAAAAGTTTTCTAATGTTAAACTATATAAAATTTTATGGATAAAGAAAGCTGTTCGATTTGTTTTAAAAAAATCTAAAACAGATCGAATACAATTAACTGTCCCAAATTTCAAAACTTGCATCAACATTCGGATGGAAATCTTATATTTTTTTTTCGATTACATGGTAGACGCACATGCATACACACCACTGCACACGCAACACCATATTCATACCTCCATAAATACGATCCCTAGAAAATATGCTCTAAAACGGAAATCAATGGTACATCCTAGTCCCCTAAAACCTCTTTGCATTTTAAAATTACGAGGCCCTGGTTGTAGGTCCACTTCATCATGGACCAACATCTCGAGGCAGCTTGATTAATAAGCTATCACAGCCTCCTTGGACCACTTCTGGCTAATTAATTTTGTTATTTTCCATGTTTTGTGTCACATGTAACTATGGGGTCTATGGAAGGAAGAGTTGAAATGGCTCTAGCCATAGTCTTTTTGTTATTGACTTCTTGTGCTTTAGGAGTACTATTATAGTAACATGGTACTACTACTAGTAGAATTCATTCACGTGCTTAAAAGCGGATACGAGGTTGCAGTTCATTATTGGTCAAAACTCAAAAAGTTCATGGTAATATAGATATTTTAATTCTTTAAGTACTCTGTTCCAACTTGGAAGATGGATTGGTCACTGTCTTCTTTCAAATCTGAAAGAGAAGTTACCCAACAGCCGGTCGGATGCACATGCGCATCGATACAATTCAAGAAACAGATTGGACTACTCCATGTTCTCCTTTACAGGAATGTTTGATTATTCCAAATTACTACTCCCTCCGTCCAAAAAAAAAAAAACTCAATTTCTGGGTTTCTGTGTCTAACGTTTGACTGTTTGTCTTATTTGAAAAAAATATGAAAAAATTTAAAAAGGTAAGCCATGCATAAAGTATTATTCATGTTTTATCATCCAACAATAATGAAAATACTATTCATAAAAAAAATCATATAAGACGGACGGTCAAACATTGGATACGAAAACCGAATAATTCGGTCTTTTTGATAGAGGGAGTACATGCCAAGATGATCACCGGTCCTTCGTAATATCATCCACCCACCATGAAAAAGAGACCAAATTTAACATAGAGATGTTTGAATTCCATCATCGTTCTTTCAGTATTTTTTTTTCTGTACATTTCAACTCTTTCCAATGAAATTATATGATCCCTAGCATATGTACTACTACTAAAACTACTACTACTACTTGTGACAGATAGGAATAATCGTGCACTGTACAAATGCTGCAAGCATAAGCATCCTCACGGCCTCGTTAATTATGGGATTAAAGCTGACGTGTACTGATCAGAGCGCGAGCGCGAGGTGGTCGCCGCGCGCCGCCGCCGCGGCGTCGTGGCGCCGGTACGGCTGGCCGCGGGCGGCGAGCCTGCCCTTCCTCTTCTCCATGAACCGCTGCAGCGACGCCTTCCTCGCCACCGGCAGGTCCGCCGACTCGCCGGCGGCGGCGGCAGTGCTGGCGAGATCGTCGCGGGGCACGCCCCTGGACGAGGCGGCGAGCCGCAGCAGCGCCGCCGCCCTGTCCGCGGGGCACTCGTCGAGCACCAGCACCCGCCCGCCGTAGAAGATGGTCATCTGCGCCGCCGCCGACGATGCCGCGGCGCCGCCTCCTTCCTCCTCCCGCTCGTCTCCGGCGACGTCGGCCCCCGGCATGAGCGGGAGTGGCCGCACCGCCGCCGCCGCCGCCGCCGTCCGCGCCCTGTGGACGTTATCCGCCGCCCTCACGTACTGGCTCAGCGCGCCGCACGCCGCCGCGAACCTGCTCGTCGCCGCCGCCTCCGCCGCCATCACCGGTGATCGATCGATCGATCGATCAAAATCAACCAGCCGCTGCTTGCTCTCGATGGGGTCGTCGAGGTGTTCGGAGAAAATCTCGGGTTAATTTCTTCTTGGCGAGGTGGCTCGGGGGGCCTCGCTTTTGTAGGCGGGAGGTGGGGTCGCGTGGGCTGGGCTGGGCTGGGCTGCGCACGAAGAACACGTGAAAGGTGAGGAGGAAGCATACGACGCCGCATCGCATCGCATCGCGTCGGGTGGTGGACTCGTGGGGTGTGAGGGCGACGGCGCCGCAGTTCGACGTGGCGTTGGGAGGGTGGGTGGGAGGCTGACGGGGTGGGGCCCACGTCGCGCGCCACGCCGACTGGGTCGGGGTGGTCAACTCGTCGCGTGCGTGCAGCCTTCCGACACGGTGGGTTGCTCACCGTCACAAAATTAGCCGATTTATTTATTTGGCTCCCCTATTTCTTTCTTTGTTTGGATTGTTTATTTTGTAATCATCATTGGCACATGTTTAGGGTGGATTCCACTCCTGTATTATGGATAAAAAAAGTGATAGTATAAATAATGATTTGGCTTGCAATAAACAACAACCCGAATGCTCCTGTTATTATTGTAGTATACAGTACCACTAATTGCTACAACTTGAATAAAAATAATATGTACGTTCTCATGTGTTCTTTTATTTAGGAATTATTATCATATGAAATATGATTATGAGTATAACATCACATAATAAAAGGAAAAAGTACACCGAAGGTCCCTCAACTTGTCATCGAGCTACAAAATCGTCCCTCAACCGTAAAACCAGATATAGGACATCCCTCATTTTACAAAACCGTTCATTTAGAACCTTCGGTAGTTTTGACTCCGGTTTTGTCCGACGTGGCGGCTGAGTCAGCGTGGGCCCCACATGTCAGGGTGTACGCGTCAGCGCCCTCTCTTCCCCCTCTTCTCTTGCTTCCTCGGTTTCTCCTCTCAATCTTCTCTGTAGGCCGGCCGGCGAGGTGAGGCGGGTGTTATAGGATGTGACACTTTATAGCAATCTAGAATTGGATGTGACACTTTATAGTACAATATATCTGGACAAGAAGCATGTTTGGATTCGCTGTACTATGAAGTGACCATCCGTCACTAGGTTGTTATATTATGGGACGGAGGTCGGAGGGAGTACTAGATTACTTTCTCTGTTCCATATTAAGTTTATTTTTTTATCTCATTTAATTTGTTTCAAAATAACTTTTTTTTTCTAAAATAATAACTGTATCGGAGTTTGTAAAATTATAGAATAATTATATTGGGACTAGATAAAGTGATGAATAATTGTTTCAGGGTGTACGTACTGGAGTTTCTGTGCTTTTGGGCTCTGGGTAGGGCCCATTCCCTGACCCGAGCGGAGCTATTAAAAACACCGGTCCAGCTCGACTGAGTCGATAGCCTATCGGCCCAGAAAAGGATCCTCTGACGTAAAGTTATCTCTGACGTGGTCACTGATAGATGGGCCCGCAGTCACCACGTTCGTCTGATTTTCCGTCTGAGGATCTCCTTCCCGGTCGGCCCATGCACGCGGTCACGCACCGGCTGACCGCCGCATGCTTCCTTCGCGTGTCGTGCTGGCACGTACGGACGTACGTACCGCGGTGTAGGAGTACTCTGTAGTACAGGAGTTCTCTGGAAGTACTAACAACGAGAAGCTTCTTCGTTGCGGAGGTCAGGATCGAGACGTGACAAATTGGAACGAGAACTGTGCTGAATATTGGAGTATTACTCCATATTTCACGTTAACATTTGAATTCAACTTCATATAACTATGATTTTTTTTCGATGGTTCTGCAACTTTTATCTCTTTTTTTTACCTTATTAAAATCCTGGATTTATTCCCAGAGTTTAAGTATGCCATGTGATCCAATCATATTGAGGTCAAGGCGTCGGCTTCAGAAGATTAGATACATTTTGCATAGTAAAATATTTTGGAGTTTTGTGCTTTTGGGCTTTGGGTAGGGCCCATTTGCTGACCTGAGCCTTGTAAAGCCGGTCCAACTCCGGGTGCTGGGCCAGCCTCTACGTACGGGCAGGTAGGTACCGGCCATGCCGGCTTGTAGCTGTCAGCCTGTAACGCCTCTGCCTCATATGCATGAACTCCCAAGTCCCAACGTTACAAAATACTACCCCCATCTTAGGGCCTTTTTAGTTTGCGAAATGAAATTTTTTTTGTCACATCGGATGTTTGACCGGATGTCGAAAGGGGTTTTCGGACACAAATAAAAAAACTAATTTCATAACTCGCATGGAAACCACGAGACGAATCTTGAGCCTAATTAATCCATCATTAGCACATGTGGGTTACTGTAACCCTTATGACTAATCATGGACTAATTAGGCTTAAGAGATTCGTCTCGTGATTTCCCTCTTAACTGTGTAATTAGTTTTTCTTTTAATCTATATTTAATGCTCCATGTATGCGTCTAAAGATTCGATGTGATATTGTTGGGAAAAACTCTTGGGGAACTAAACGGGGCCTTAATATAAGTTATTTTTCACACAACACACATAAACATACAAAAGAAAAATACTAGAATATTTTTATTTTATCAAATCATAAATCAATTATTTATCACTTTATCTATTCCCAATACAATTATTCCCTAATTTCACAAACTCCAATGCAAGATTACTTTAAAAAATTGAACTTATTTTTAAACAAATTAAATGAGCTAAAAATGAACTTAATATAGAACAGAGAAAGTAATCTAGTACTCCCTCCGTCTTATAATATAACAACCTAGAATCTTCATAATACAAAAATCTAGATATGAAGCATGTCCGTATTCGTGGTACTATGAAGTGTCTCATGATTCAAACCTAGCACTAGGTTATGTCACATCCATATACCCCATTCTTTTCGATTAAATTTGTACATATTTTACCTCGGTGTGCATTAACAAATTTTTCGAACGGCTACATAGTATATTTCGTGTGAAAACTAAACTTTTTATAATTTAAAACAATTAAAACTCAATTAATCATAAAATAATAACTTTTTTGTTTTACGTATTCATACTAGCTTAATCTTTTATTTCATCTCGGAGCTATAAAAAATGCGGGTCATTACTAGCAGTACTCTACATGCTTTTATTTCATCCCGGAGCTATAAAAAATACGGGTCATTACTAGCAGTACTCTACATGGACGAGAAGTTTCTTGGTTGCGCATGCAGAAATAATTAACTATTTTATTACTCTTACGAGTAATGATAAAGAATTTGCCACTAGACCCCATGTTATAGACAAATGAGGGTCTATGAGTCATAGATAGCGAGTGAAAATTTTTTAATTGACACATTTTAAAGTGATAAATAGTTAAATTGTCCCGCACATGCAGGCCGCACGAGACTGACAAGTTGGAACAAGGATTGCGCTGAACATTACTTCCTCCTTTCTTTCACGTTTTCCTTAGGTAAATACTTTCTTTCACCTTAATTGCCACTATTGACCAGAACAAGTAATAATTGCACGTTTGCTTGTCACGTTTAGCCTGCAGCTTAATAGAATAAGCCATAATTTCAATTTTAAAAGTGATTTTAGGACTTTCATTGTAGTTTAATTTCGGCATTTGCATGCTTTTAAATCTTCAAAAACATGTGTATATATAAATTCTATATGTTAAATCGTTAATAAGCCATCGCTTATAATAAGTATAATAAGCGGTGGTCTACCAACGCTAACCAAGAACATTCTAAAAGCCACCAAATATATATATACGAGGGAATAGGCTGAAGAAAATTATTACTATTGGTTTAAAAAAAGATAGAAAACGTGTATTGGGTAATATAATGTAGCGTGACAAATATTTGTGGACCTGTAAAATGACCAAATTAAAGAGACAAGTAAACGTGAACGTGAACAAAAGCCTTACTTTTGTTTGGAATGAGAATTGTGCTGATAAAGTTGCTAGTCTTTCTTTGGTCTGCGCTATGCATATCCAACCATGGATAAACGCTATAGTTATGAAAACGATGAGCCATCGATTTATCGCATTGTTTGCAGGCATGCACGCTCCATGCTAAATTAGTTAATTTAATACTAGAGTGAGTTCGCGCGCTACGCTGCGCGGTATTGTAGCATGTAATGCTATAACTCACAGAAAAAGGTTTGTCCAAGAAGATTACATAACAACAATACTCAATTCCTCATGTACCTACAGCGTGATAAGAACATTATTTAACCTAAATAGTTCTTTTTATAACCAAAGTCCCCAGAAGCAGTTCCGGATAGATGATAATTTATACAACAATTTCACGACGCATAGTAGGGATGGCAAGCATAGTATGATTCATCCAACATCTATGGGCACAAGATGCAGTTTGTTATGTAAAACTAACTGAAAATAGTACATGGTTAAGTTTCTCATAATCTTGTTTGCGAGGACTGCAGTATTAAAATAGTATCTGTAAACTCTAGCATTGGCCAAAAACCCAGTCAGATGAGACAATAGTATTGCATTGATCAACTATGGTACGAAAAACCAACTACATTTCAGATTCATTAGTTTTAAGTAGGGACTTGACTCTTCACTATGAGAACTTTCTACTCAAGAAACATATCCCCCTCGGCAATTCAGATCACCAAATGCAATACCCAGCATCTGCTAAAATCATTCTTAAAGTTAAGAGTTTGGAGAATTAACTCAGCATATTAGAGATGTTACTAAGTAGAACTCAAAAGTTTGGAGACTTAAGTCAGCACATAGAGAGATGTTACTAAATCAGTAGAAGGAACTCAAATTAATGAACAGATCCTCACTTCAGTCTATGTTATGCTACTAATCAAATCAGCGGACTCTTAAAATAGCCATGTAAAGGAACTTAAATATAAAGGTTCCTGAAAAGAGACATCTAAATGCAATAACTGAGTATCCACTGTGAATCAATGGACTGATATAAATGCTAGAAACAAATATACATCACCTATGTGATTAATTAGCTACCAAACTACCATGAGAGCCTTCAATATTTGTATTTTTCTCTTAGATGCCCCTCGTATTCTAGTATAGCTAAGGCGTTGACAAATATCGATCTACCTACCGTACAGTATTTAAAAAAAAAAGATCATCATGGTTAACGCATGTTTAGGGATATTTCCACAGGTATTTCAAATGGTTTTCCTGCTGAGCAGGCTACAGAGACCATATTGTTTAATTTGCACATTGCAGCACTCAACTGACTTGGTGTTGGTAAGTTTATTTGGTAGGCAAAAGAATTGGACTGGGGTGCTTCAGCCTAACACAGTGCAGCCTTGAGATATTAAGACCAGCTCATAGAAAAGCATTAACCGTTGATGTGCATGGAGTATTTTTCCTGTATGGTTTAGAAAATGATCAGATGGAGTGCTCTTTTTTTTGGTCAAAATGGTAATTACATATAATTAATGAATAAAAATAAATAATAGGAAGGATTAACTTTTTTTTTCTCTTTCTCTCTAAGGAGAACATCAGAGAGCAAATCACAGAAAGGATCTCCAATGCATATTTACCTTGTATTTGTTTGTCAATAAGATGCTGGCAGCTCCATTCCTGAAGATCCATGAGCTGAGCATAGTGGGTTGCCTCTCCCAATATTAACATGAGACATGAATTATCATGAAGTAAACCTATTCCTTGAAGATTGAGCGGGGATCTTGGGCCTATCAAGATTGACTAAGGCGACATCAAGCACACATCATAAGCATCTCAGTTGAAAGAACTTTTTTTTGGTAAACTTCTCTTAAGGGAAAACTAAATATTTACCATTTAAACTTAAAAAGCTACTTGCACAGAGGCTGTAAAACTACAATTCTCTTTTATTGTACCATATATGTTATTCATGTGTATGAAGAGAACACGGGGAGACTATAGTAGCAGTTCGTAATGGTGTCGCATATATAAACTCATGTATAATCAGATAAATTTAATATATATCAAATTATAGATAATATCACAGAATATACACATCTAGAAATCCTCATGATTTTGTATTGACAAAACCGAACCAAACTAACATGTTGTACCCATCCAAGAATACCTCTTGTAGGTAAATTGGGAGTGTTAGGATTAATTTTGTAGATCGACTATCCAACAAACCATAGGACAATACATCAATAAAGATTAAAGCATCTCCTGGTTCCCCAAAGAAACTTCAATGCAAGCATATGTAGTTCCTGTACAAAACTTGCCATGTTAATTCTGCAAAGCAATAATAGTGAGAAAGCCAAATTTTATAGGGGACTTTTTCACATGATAAGATAAAAACAAGGAAATACTACTATTATGCAATTACTGGACTGAGTGATTGATGTCTACGCCTGTCATTTACAAAGAATGGCAATATATGGGCATATGGCGATCTGTTTGCAAAGTTACACAAAAATATAATTGAATTTCAGAACCATCTGTGGCCATCAGACATGTAAATGGCATATCATAAAAAGGTACAAACAATGAAAGGCAAATGTTTAATGGTGAGGTAAAAAGAGAAATTCCTGCAGCTTACCTTTTTCTGTTGCCTTTGCCTGGCTGTCATGGCTATCGTGTTCTGAATGGCTACATAAGAACATGAATCAGAGGTTGGCAAGGAAGTAGCACAAGAAGCTCATGCGATGGATAAAAGTATGAAATGATTGCTCTTAATTTGGGTATATAATAATTTCATTAATAAGCAACACTAATATTTTACAAAGCTAGTAAATGTTGAACTCTAAAAATGGGGCAAGTCTAGCCGTCTGTTCACCCATATGCTGAAAACCCACAAATAATTTGTGTAAAAGGATTCTTTGTAGTGCATCATTGTAGAACTACTTGGCCTAGTGATCATGAGAACCATCATAAATTACATGGTAGGATGATTTGCAAAACAACATAGAGTTCAATTTAATGGTATTTGCTTACAATTTTTTTTTTAAAAAAATATTCCATGATAGCACGTGGTTGGCCAGTGAGCTATGCAATTACAACTTTAAAATTATTAGCAGTCAACATCTTAAACTACAATCTTATACCAAATAATTTGAACTTAGATATTGTAATTTTAAATTCATACCCACCTTAGTATTAGCCTCGCCTTGAGTTGTACTAAGCAAGCCCCTTTTAACACATCCTTATCTACCAATGATAAGTTTCTGCAATGTAAATGAAAGTTAAGCCTGCAACAAGTAAATCTTTTGATCCCAAAAGATCTTATAGTAACTATTCAAATTGTTGTCCCATTTACATTGAAGAGCTTAGTTTTTTACTGAAACTGAAAACAGGTAACAATGGAAAACTTCAGAAGAATTCATTGCCCTCTGAAGCACTGTTAAAAAGATAGGAAAAATTTGTATTAAATACAGCAGAATCAGCAAGAAGCAATTCACATCACCCTGGCTTAGTTATCCAACAATCAAAGAAATGAATAGTCTTTACCTAAAAGCCAGATATAATGGGAGGAGCCATGTAAGCGACGCAAAAGGTCCAGCAAGCAAACTGCTTCATGACCATGTAAATGGAACCAGTGGGAACAAAAATAGAAGGAACTCTTTAGAGATGATTCAACATAATATAGTTATCATTTAGAACATTATTCTTTTATTTAGAGGTAACAACAAAAATTCTTTTGAAATATATTTTTGAATTCTGTCACACATCTTAGCAAACTCCTCGGGCCATATTAAACATCTAGGACACTCATCTAGCCAATACAACAAGATAGTACAATTTGCCAAAAGCTATTTCACTAAGGGAACAAAAGCTATCACTGCTACAACAAGATAGCTGTTTCACTAAGGGAACAAATGCTATCACTGCTGTTGAACAACCAAGAAGATGCAGTGTAAAAAGGAAATATAACCTCCAGCTGTTGAATATCAACTAATTAGGCTCAATTCATAGGACAACAACCCAAAAGGTAATAAATGCAACCAGAGCAGTGACGGGTCTGGGGAAGAACCACCACCACCTCATCCTGCCAGTCTATCTTCTGCATGTGCTAGCTGCATGACAGCATACATAAATCATTTCATTAGGCACCATGTTTGCTCTGAGATAGAACAAATTTTCAGTGCAAAGCGATCCTGTTTGGCACACACCTATTTGCAAAAAAATCAATCAAAAAGAACTCATTATTTGCTCCAAAAACTCACCTACAGACAATATGATAGTAGTATGTTGGGCTGTACAGGAGAGGCAACAGAGAGGACAGCTTCTTCTCGTCCTAATCCTCCTCTATGCCATTGGCCTACCCAGTAGACAGTAGAAACTCGAAATCCACATTTAAATCAATGTAATCGCTCGAATCACACGCCCATTGATGAAAGGGGAAAACACAGGGAGCTGCTAATCACGCACCTAACCGCCGGCGGCGACAGGGACCCGTCGAACTCGATGCGTCGTCACCACGTCGAAGACCTCCAAAAAACTGTTGGGGGAGCCGCAGCGACCTCAAATCGCTGGGACCTCCAGCAGCAGCCGCCGCTGCCAAACCCCTGTGCTAGAGGCTCCGACGCCGCCGCCAGGTCCCCGACCTCAAGGCTATGTTGAAACCGCCGTTGAGCCCCTCCATCGAGCGCAGCCACCACCGTACACTTTAGGGAAGCACTGTTGGAGGACGGGTAAAACGACGGCGCTGGAAAGGCCATGGAAGAGGAGGAGGAGGCGGCGCCGCGGCGGAGGAGCATCGGCGCCGCCGGTCAAAGAAGCGAGAAGCGAGAAGGGAGATGGGGATTGGGATGCGACGTGGAGAGACGAGAGATCGTGGATTCCACGTCTGGGTAAGGACGGAACCATCTAGATAGGAGACGAACGATCAGATTATGTCCACGGGTGAGATCGAACGGCTCTGATTCGATGGACTCAATCGTAAATACCAAAATTATAAGGGCTTTTCTGCAAAAATTAATGGCGTCGATCAATTAGGTTTGCAGATACGTGTGTCACGAGATGATTAGTCGAAGGAGTCCAAATCGCCCTGGTTGCGGCAAAGCTAGGAGCTTTAAGATATCTAGTATAAGCCACTCAAAACATATACTCCTCCTATCTTCGTCTTAAAATATAGCTACACGTGCATAATCATAACTAACTATTTTAAAACGTTTAACTATTTTAAAACAGAGGTAAACCACTCGAAATATGTACCTATATTATCTTCATCCTAAAATATAGCTACACGTGCATAATCATATCTAACTATTTTAAAACGGAGGCAGTCTTTAGAAAACCACTACTCTACTACTCTGAAACCTAGTTCCTACGTAGTACATATGAACTTCGAATTTATCTTTCTAAACCACTCAAATCATCTTAAAAAGGCCTTTGTAAACCTGTAGCAGCGCACGATGGACCAAAGGTCGAACGGAGAAGGCCCCTCTTCACTCTTCACCCCTGTGGAAACAACTATAGTGCGCAGAGAGATCTTTTTAGAGTGGCCCTGTATCAATTTTTGCGCAGGAAATTGCATGGTTTAGTTTTTTTTTTGTTGGTGTGTGCATGTATGTTCATACATGTGAATGTGCGCACGTGTATACGTACACCTACGTTAGTGTTTCGAAAAAAAAGGTAAATTACATCGATGATATATAAACTTGCGATATGGGTGCAGTATGATACATAAACTTACAAAATAATTGTTTTGGTGCACGAATTTATATAATGCGTGTAAACCTGAGGCCAAATGAGAAATTGAACATTACTCCCTCCGTTTCACAGTGTAAGACTTTCTAGCATTGCCCATATTCATATAGATGCTAATGAATCTAGACATTAACTTTCTAGCATTGCCCATATTTATATAGATGCTAATGAATCTCATTAGCATCTATATAAATATGGGCAATGCTAGAAAGTCTTACATTGTGAAACGGATGAAATACATAGTTAATCCTACTTAGTTGGATATTTATTAGGAACAAGCACACATATTTGAATGATGTCACCTAGATATGTATGAGCGCAATCAAATGTATAATAAATGATGGTGATTATACACACAAATAATATAAAATATAGATGAAGTATGCAATGAATAGAAAATAGTGAATGAACAAAAATATATATCCAAATAGAGGTTATTCGCACCTGTAGCATGCCTCGTTACCACTTGCTGTTTGTGCGGATTACATTCTAAATATGCTCTAACTCAGTATTATTAGTCACAGTCTGCTGATTTGGCCTTCTATCGTTGGTAATAGACAAATTCTTGGTGCAAACAACTCGTGTTTTCACTGAGTGATTGTGTCTCCTCTCCTTCTCTCTCCTACTATTCTTGTGAACATTGTGCCTACATATTGTTCTTGTGAACATCGTGCCTGCAGGTGGAGTTAGCATGGCTAACGGGCACTAGCGAGCATGCATGATGTGGTAATAGCCTTCAAAAACGGAGGCCTCCATGTCGGTCTGGTGGACAACCATAAATGACTGGTAGAAAGAAGGAGCACACAAGCTCGTGCCAATCATATATAGCCATGCATGGAGAGCTCATGACCACACTATATTTTAGGACAGAGTAGGACTTGAAAAGGTAATATATATGAAAGCTACTTCAAATGAAACATATATTGTTCTCAGTATTTTTCTTTGGGAGTATTTTCTATTAAAAATCGTTACGTCGTTTCTACACTATATAAATTATTATTACCTACATTTACGTCGTTTTAATCCCTATATATGGACAATGGAGATGGCCCCTCTTCAGGCTTCTTCACCCTTGTGGGAACAACTAGAGTGCTGTATCATCTGATCCGACGATTTATTTCAATGGTCTGTATCAAATTTTGCATAGAAAATTACATGGTTTAGTTTTACTCTCGCTGATAATTTGAAATGCCAACAAAACTATTATTCCAAGACAACAAAACAAGACGATTTCGCCAACCTCTATCCTAAATTGTTGCAATCTAAGCCAGCTATACTTCTAAACAAGCCAGTAAATTGGCCTTGAATCGTACGATCGATTCAAATCAAAATTCAAACGAATCTTGGTCACACGAAAGAAAAGGAAGAGCTCGAATTCAGTAGAACGCGGCGTCGTCAGTGCGGCCTGATCCCGGCGTCCTTGCCGGCAGCATTGGCGGCGAATGGCGAGTATGTACGGCGCCGTCGCCCCGAGCCGCCTGCGACTTCTCTTCTCCACGGACCGCTGCAGCGACACCTTCCTCACCACCGGCAGGCCGGCGTCGCGCCCGCGCGCCGTCGTCGTCCCGCCCAGCGCGCGCCGCGGCGCGCACCAGCTCGACGACCGCGCCCCCCGCGGGGAAGAAGTCGTCGAACACCAGCATCCGCCCGCCGTACATGATCTTCAGCTGCGCCGCCGCAGCCGCCTCCTCCCTCACGTCCGGCTCGACGTCGGCTCCCGGCATGAGGAGCATCGTGGTGTGGTGGTGGTGGTGGTGGCGGCGACCGTTCGCCGCCGCCGCCGCCGCCTCGGCCTTGACGCACCGGCTGAGCACGCCGCACGCCACCACGAAACCGCCAGCTCCGGCCACCGCCGCAATGATGATCCGACACTGCCATGATCGATATCTACCCGGCCCCGGTACATGATGACTCTGAGCACGCGACGCAGCGTGCTCAGAGTACGGATATAAGTACGTACGTACGCGGTGGATGGGTTGAAGAGAGCGGGTGGTGGGGCGCGTGGTTTGGTTTGAATGGATGGATGCAACCCAACAAGTGGCCACACGAGACACCATGCGCGGCACGGGGGGATGTAAACTACACTCGCGAGAAGCGGACGATGTCGTGCGAATTGAGCTTAGCTCAATGGATTATACTAAGATTTTTTCTTTTTTAAACCTGTCTACCTGGGTTTAAATTTTAACACTGATTCTCACATCTATGGTGAACTATTTTTTTTCTATGTTAGACATGTAGAAACAAAATATTATGTACATTGGATTTCGGTATTTAGGAATAGAATGTTATGTCCATTGGATTTCTATAGTATTTAGAAACACCGACAAGTGTCGAAACTTTTTTTTTGAATGGCACATAGGAAATAGTACAGCATTAGAGAAGAAGAAAACCTGAGGTCTCACTTCATGATTATTTTTCTCCCAAATTCTCATAGAAAAGCCCTTTCGATAGGAATTTTAAGAAAACTGGTAGGAATCAATCTTTTATTTTAGAGGACTTAAACAATTTTTTTTACTATAGAATACAAATCCTCTAGTATTTCTATATTTTTTTCTTTCATTCAAAGGGGTCCTAAGGGTTTGATTTCCTATACACACAACAACATTGTGAATTAATGTTTTTTTTTAAAAAAAGTGAATAAACAGTAGGTTTTGGAGAATACGCAACACAGTTAACACCCAAGTTAATACAATTTGCTTCAAGTAGTCATATGTTTTACAATTTGCTTCAACTTCCATGAATAAGTAATTTACTCCCATCGTGTTACATGACACTACACAAGACAATAAATTAACAAAACAAATAACATAATTAATCACTAGACCAGGCTTTTCTAAACAAAATTATTAAACCATGTTTATGTTATGGACACAATTTAAATGCATGGTTGGAACGTTTCTGTTGGTGTTCACAGTCACAAAGGAGTAGTGTATTGATCAAGTGATGGAAAGAAGAATAACGTGCAGGCCGTGCGTGGGCGACTTGCATGCAAAATGCAATGAAACGGCTAACAACACATGCAAATGCAATGAAACGGCTAACAACACAATTGGTGCAAACAACTCGTGTTTTAACTGAGTGATGGTCTCCTCTCCTACTATTCTTGTGAACATTGTGCCTACATATTGTTCTTGTGAACATCGTGCCTGGTGGAGTTAGCATGGCTGGACAACCATAAATGACTGGTAGAAGAAGAAGCACACACAAGCTCGTGCCAATCGTAGCCATGCATGGAGAGCACATGACCACACTATATTTTAGGACAGTGTAGGACTTGAAAAGCTAATATGAAAGCTAGTTCAAATGAAATATATATGTTCTCCGTATTTTTCTTTGGGAATAGTTATATTTATGGCACTATATTTTCCATTAAAAATCATTAAATCGTTTTTACACTATATAAATTATTTACCTACATTTGCAATCCATTTACATTGTAAATTTAGAAACTTACACTCTTGTCAGTGTACAAAATATGGTATACCCTAGCAACAACAGAAAAATATAATTCATGTATAGAATACCTCATTTCCATAGAATGGACCCCCTCCCACACCAAATTATAGATATAGCATCCCAAATAAATAAAGAATACTGTCAGGGTTATGGATACCACATACCCAATAGTAATCGACTAAGCTCGGTAGGACCCATCATATACCAAGTCTTATACGGAACAAACCTCGTATATAGAAGAAGTTCCGGATAAGGAAGTACTAATAGAGTTCTATATGAAAACGACAATGATTACTCGGATTGTATCCATATTGGTCTCCCTAGTTCTACTTGGACAAGGGGACATCTATGGGTATAAATACAAGCCCCCTAGAAGGAGAGGGGACAAGCCACAAGACACAACATACACACAAACCAATACGTGGCCAAATATCGACATTAGAGATTAGTCTAGACATACCCCATCTGGTGTCTACGGAGATCAGTAAGAGAGATCTAGCGCCATCTCTGATCTCGACAGGTTTATATTCGAGGAGGAAGACTACCATGTCGTCGACTACGAGCTGGTTATCCATGCCGCCAAGTTGATGACAGTTAGATAGGTTATCCCAAATATTATACTTGTGTGATCCAGATGAATAAAGAGCAACACCGGTTTTGGCCAACAGGATGTAAGGCTATTACCTGTCAGATAAGGGGCACGAACCTGTATAAAAATCCTTGTCTCCATCTCTTTTACCTCAATCTCGCATATACCCTAGTACCAACGATCCCCATACCATCCAAATACCGTAGTCACGATCTCAAACGTCGACAAATACAAAGGCCATAGAGTTCTATTCAGACTTGCCCCAGTACTATACCGAAGATTTCTAAGATTATCTCCATGAGTCCCTTATGAAAATGGACCTATGAGTATAAATATATAACCCCGTGAAAGGGGCGAAGGACAAGTAACTCTAAATCAATATTTTCTGATGTTCCGGTTGGATCGATATTGTCATCGTTTCTAACTCTTGCGTTCCAATATCATTTCCGAGAAAAAAAAATGGTAACAGAAATGGTTTAAGCATTTTTCCTACCGTTTTAATCCCTATGGACGAAGGTCCAATGGAGATGGCCCCTCTTCAGGCTTTTTCACCCTTGTGGGAAGAACTAGAGCGCTGTATCAACTCCGACGATTTAATTCTATGGTCTGTATCAAATTTTGCGTAGAAAATTGCATGGTTTAGTTTTACTCCTCGTTGGTAATTTGAAATGCCAACAAAACTATTCTTCCCAAGGTAAAAAAAAACAAAAGTATTATTCCAAGACAACATAACAAGACGATTTCACCAATCTCAATCCTAAATTATTGCAATCTAAGCCATATATACTTCTAGACAAGCCAGTAAATTGGCCTTGAATCGTACGATTCGAATCAAAAGCCAAACGAATCTTGGTCACACGAAAGAAAAGGAAGGGAGCTCGAATTCAGTGGAACGCGGCGTCGTCAGTGCGGCCTGATCCCGGCGTCCTTGCCGGCAGCATTGGCGGCGAATGGCGAGTAGGTTCGGCGCCGTCGCCCCGAACCGCATGCGACGCCTCTTCTCCACGAATCGCTGTAGCGACACCTTCCTCACCACCGGCAGGCCAGCGTCGAGCCCACGGCTGTCGCCGACTCGCCGCCGTGCCGCGCCCGCGCGTCGTACGTCCTGCCCGGCGCGCGCCGCGGCGCGCACCAGCTCGACGACCGCGCCCCCCGCGGGGAAGAAGTCGTCGAACACCAGCATCCGCCCGCCGTACATGATCTTCAGCTGCGCCGCCGCCGCCGCCTCCTCCCTCACGTCCGGCTCGACGTCGGCTCCCGGCATGAGGAGCATCGTGGGGTGGTGGCGGTGGCGACCGTTCGCCGCCGCCGCCGCCTCGGCCTTGACGCACCGGCTGAGCACGCCGCACGCCACCGCGAACCGCCAGCTCCGGCCGCCGCCGCCGCAATGATGATCCGACACTGCCATTGATATATCGATCTACCCGGCCTCGGTACGTGATGACTCTGAGCACGCGACGCATTAGGCCGGGGTGGGTGGGAGTACGGATATAAGTAGCACGAGTGGTGGTGGCGCGAGCGCGACGTTGTGGGGGAAACATGGGGATTCGCGAGGGGCGCGCGGGCGCGAGAGAACAGGGGATCGCATGACCATGGGTACGTATACGCGTGGCGCGGTGGATGGTTGAAGAGAGCGGGTGGTTGGGCCGGCGCCTGGTTTGGTTGGATGGATGGATGCAACCCAACAAGTGGCCCACGAGACACCATGCACGGCCCGGGGGGTGTAAACTACACTCGCAAAATGCAGACGATTTCGTGCGACCTAGCTCGATTCCATCAGCATTAGGAATCGTGCTCCCCTGATTTTAACTTGAAAAATACTCCCTCCGTATTTTAATCTATGACGCCATTGACTTTTTAACAAACGTTTGATCTTTCGTCTTATTCAAAAAATTTATGTAATTATCATTTATTTTATTGTGACTTGATTTATCATCAAATGTTCTTTAAGCATTACATAAGTATTTTTGTATTTGCATAAAAAATTTGAATAAGACAAATGGTCAAACGTTGATTAAAAAGTCAACGGCGTCATACATTAAAATACGGAGGAAGTAGAAATTAAGGTTAATATCCTTGGCAGTTGAAGAAAGAAATTAAGGTTAATATCCTTGACAAGAATGATAGTTCAAACGGCTGCGAAGTGACCTTAGCTCAATGGAATATACTAAGATTTTTCTTTTTTAAACATGAAGAAAACAGTAGGTTTTGGAGAATACGCAACACAAAACCCAAGTTAATACAATTTGCTTCAAGTAGTCATATGTTTTACAATTTGCTTCAACTTCCATGAATAAGTAATTTACTCCCATCGTGTGGCATGACACTACACAAGACAATAAATTAACAAAACAAATAACATAATTAATCACTAGACCAGGCTTTTCTAAACAAAATTATTAAACCATGTTTATATTATGCACACAATTTAAATGCATGGTTGGAACGTTTATATATGTCGGTGTTCACAGTCACAAAGGAGTGATGGATGGAAAGAAGAATAACGTGCATGCAGGCCGCCGTGCGTGGGCGATCTGCATGCATTGTCTGCGTTTGCCACTGTGCTGGTGGCGATGGAGAAGGCCTTACGTGGAAGATTTATACTCCATCCGTTTCATATTATAAGACTTTCTAGCATTGCCCACATATATATATATATATATATATATATATATATGTTAATATATACACATGTATGTATAGATTCATTAACATCTATATGAATATAGGCAATGCTAGAAATTCTTATAATATGAAACGGAAGACGTACAAGTTATTACTATTGCAGATTTATGTCGACGATAACTGTAACTACACTAAGGTTTAATATTTACATTGTATTTTTTATTAAATTATACGAGAATTTTTGTCATTATAATATTGTTACGAATTATTATTCACATTCGTTACTTCTTTGAAACTTTACTAGTACATCTATAAAATTAATTCATTGTGCAAACATTACTATGATTTGGTTACCTCTATGATACGTTATTTCCAATGCTCTATTCCGTTAATCCCCCTTTTCATATTTTTTTGTTGTTCCGGTTGTATTGTATCGTTATAGTTTCCAACTCTACCGTTGCAATACCATCTCCGTGAAAAAGAAATGGTAACGGGAATGGTTTAAGCACTTTTCATGACCGTTTCCGGTTGTTTTATTCCCTATGGACGAAGGTTCAATGGAGAAGGCCCCTCTTCAGTCATATTCACCCTTGTGGAAACAACTCGGTACACTCCAACGATTTTTTTCAAAATGGTAGGTCTGTATAAAAAATTTGCATAGAAACTTACATGATTTAGTTTTGCTCTCTTTGGTGATTTGAAATGCAAACTGCACTTCTTCCAAAACAACATAACAAGACGATTTCCCAATTAATCTCTCTGGTAAAATATTGAGCGGGGCGCCGCATGCGGAAACGGCCTACGCTACGATCCGTTTCGGGCGCGCGCGCGGCGCTTGCACCATGCACTTGTTGAACAAATACACTCGCAGGAAGTGGATGATAGCGTGCGATCTCCTGATTTTAACCTGAAAGAAAAAAAAATCAGGTAATGTCCTTGACACGGATGATAGTTCAAACAGCTGCGAAATGAGAGTAGCTCTTTATACGGATTCTCACATTTATGGATAATTAATCATTCGATAGTAGACGATGTAGAAATAGGATGTCATGTTTATTAGATTTTTATAGGATTTGAAAACACTGGGAAGTGTGAAAAGTTTTAATTGATTGGCACATATGAAAAAGAAAACATGAGAAGAAGAAAACAAGAGGTCTCACCTTATGCTTATTTTTCCTTCAAAATTCTTCTAGGAAAGCCCCTTCCATAGGAATTTTAAGAAAATCAATCATTTGTTTCAAAAGATTGATAGAATAATTTTCTCATATAGAATACAAATCCTCTAGTATTTCTATATTTTTCGTTTGATTCAAAGGGGACCTAAGGGTATGATTTTCTATACACACGCAACTGCATTGCAAATTTATGGTTTTTCAAAGTGAATAAACAGTAGGTTTTGGAGAATTTGCAACACAAAACCCAAGTTAATACAATTTGATTCAATTCAGTAATCCTATGTTTTACAGTTTTATGAAAAAAATGTTTGTTAATGAGTAAATTGTACCATAGATACAAGAACTTTCAAAGTGGGTGTGATTTAGCATATCAAATTGTAAATCGCTTATTTCGGTGCATAAACTTGTCAAGTGTTTGCAAACAAAAGCCAAAATAGCATGTCGTAACTAACTTCACTAAGTTGGACGTTGATTAGGATGTTATGTAGGTTTACATGTCAAAATGATGTTACCTAAGTAAGTCATGTTAATTATACATATTAAAAATGTATATGAAGGGACTATGCAATGATACAAATAATAGAAGAACAAAATAACTGTTGGGTTACGCGCAGGCTACGATAGCATAAATCAAAATTTTCTAGCGCATAACCCAGGTACCATGCAAGTATTAGATTACAGATCGTTACCACTCGACGCGCTGCGCAGCGGAAGAAAGCGCTAAGAAGGCGAAGGAACCCTCGCGATGTAGCGCGCGTCGATGTAGAGGAAGTAGTCGATCGCACCAGCTTGACCTTCTCCTCCTCGTGCGTTCTCCTCGCCATACTCCCACGCCGATCAGCACCACAAAGTAGCGGCGCCTCTATCGGTATCCACACGTACAGGGACGGAACGCCACACGCAGATGTGCTAGCACCCGCGCGCGGCTAGGGTTTTGCTCGTGGAGGGGAGTGGCGGCTAGGATTTCTCACGTTATGCAATACAATCCGCCGGTCACACCCCTCACGAATATATAGGAACCATGACTCGAGCCTCCAAGGCCCGTAGGACTCCTATTCGGATCTCTATCCGAATTAAGCTCATATTAGATCTCAATCCAATCCCCTTATTCCGGCCCATTAAGCATGTGACCCTGTAGGTTCATGCACACTCGGCTGTAACCCGAAAACTCCTTTTCGGTCTACGTGTCAACAGCGGTCCCTAGCAGAACGTATTGACCCGCCGGGCATACATAAAGATCATATCGGCTGAACATCTAGCGTATACTTGAATGAACCACTTTGCCTCATGATATCGATTAAGCTCAAGGCTAGATGTGCCATCCTCTAATAGCTCAATCATTCACTCAAACTTGCGATAGATTATATAACTTGTGATAGACTCCTCAATCATCTTTAGCATGGCCATGCACTTCCATAATCAATAACATCGAGGGGGCACAGAGATATCTCTCCATAGGAGGGGCAAATCCCATCTTGATTATTCATATCCCACTACATGTTTCATAGCATACCCGAAAACTACTTTTGTAACTACCTAATTACAGAGTAGCGTTTAGCAGTCACTAAGTAAGCTACTACACATGTTGGAAACCATGATAATGTCAGGTCTAAGGATTCAACACCAACACTAAATGAGATTACTGATGACACAACACATATGGCTATTGCAGTGTCTCATGTTGGGTCTATCCAACAAATTGTTCCCCAACATGTGTCCACATTATTAATTTGGTATTTCTATACCATAATCCATGAGACATAATCATCAATTAATACATGTGCTGATCATTTAAATATATTTGTTTCACATGTGATATTTGATCGGGGATCCTTTAGAAATAGTAACAAACAACATAAAGAGTCTCATAAAAGAATCACATATTCATTAACCAATAATGAGTTATCTATTTCAAGGAATAAAATCGAATAAATATGTAAATATAGTATGTGATACAACAATATGTATAAAGGTCAGTTGTTTATATATATAAAATATGCCATGCCCTCATATGTGTGCGAGACATTCCATTCCGACTAACTCAACATAATTAGGCTGTGTTCGCTATGGGTTGTTCCCAACTTGGAACAGTAGCACGGAAAACGGAGCGATCCATTAGCGCGTGATTAATTAAGTATTAGCTTTTTTTTTCAAAAATGGATTAATTTGATTTTTTTAAGCAACTTTTGTATAGAAACTTTTTGCAAAAAAACACACCGTTTAGCAGTTTGAAAAGCGTGCGCGCGGAAAACGAGGAAGATAGGTTGGGAAAATGGACGTCCGAACACAGCCTTAGTCAGTTTCTGACTAGTTTGCATGCACTAGACCACTTCGTATATCATAATGTACTTAAATTGCACCCACCTAATAAAAGCATCATGTTTTTTTAATAAATTATTTATTTATTACGCATGGAAGTTGATCGTACCATTATTTACCCTCGTGAAACCACCTCTTCTTATGTTGCCTTTTATTTTCAACTTTTCTTCCCTATTTATCTAATGGTCCATCGAAAGATCATTTTTCCCATGGTTAATAGGATCTGTCACCCCAGAAAAGAGTTGTTGCCACCTAAAATTAAGTTTGATATTTTAGTAGACATGCATGGTAACTAAATAGGTAATGATGCATCATATAATTATTATGTTCTCAAGAATTTTAACACATTTTTTATTATTGTGTTTTTTTATTCACATCGTGTTTATTATAGGACACTACACAAACCAATAAAAACATATGTTGCATTTTACTATAAATTAACAAAACT